CGTTGACATTGCACTCAAAGAAGGAGAACATGGGGAACCAGATGCGAGCTCTCCGGCTCTGCTGGTAGGCCCGAGTGTTAGCTAGGGTGTGGTAGTACAGGAAGAGTCTGGTAGTGATGTAGAAGGCTATGAACACGTCAATGGAGTAGTGTTCATGCGCAGCCAGGATGAAGAAGATGCCGAAGAGGTTGAGCACCCAGGACAAAGTGTGGATAAAATTCCAACTTCTTGGAGTGTCTGTGTAAATCAAAGACGGAAGAGCGTTACTGAGCACTTTATGTGATTCCATTCTAAAATGTGGCACATTGTTAAGTCTGTTAAAGTTATTTTCATTCACATATTTAATGTAAAAATATTTTTTCTGCTTGTGGCTCATCTCAGGCACAAAGCTCTCAGCCACTCCTACCTGCTATTCAAGCTTTTTGTTTAAATCAGAAAGAAAGAAGGGTGGCTCTACAGGAGGAGGAGCTGAAATGGCTTGCTACAGACACTGGAACTGAGGATGAATCATACAAAGTTTCTCTAGCAGAATCAAAGACTAAAAATATTTCAATGGAAACAACTATAATAGGTTTATTATTAATTTTCAAGAAATACTTGCAGTACCAGTAGCGGACACTGGGTGGCAACATAGGGACACCTTCTCCAAATATGGCTAATCTATGTCTGCTTTATCATTTACTACCACTATAGGGTTTATTGTACTGTGTACATAATAATAGTGCTCTTTAGACTTGGATTGAAATTAATAAAGCAACAATAATTTTTTTTAAATCAAGTTTTAATTATATAGGACCAATTCACCCGCCCTATGCATTCCTTGAACATATATGCACATTTAAGGTCATATCATGGTAAACCTGACTCCCAAGTTTCCACACAGTGTTACTGTTGGCCAAGGTACTGCCACCCAGAGCAAGCATCTAATATGACAGCATGTTTAACAGGATTTATAGAAGGTAAGGGCCAAGTTCAATAACCTCAGTTTTATCTGAATTTAGAAGCAAGAAATTTGAGGTCACCCAGGTCTTTATGTCTGTAAGACATTCCTTAAGTTTAACTAAGTGGTGTGTCATATCTGGCTTTGTGGATAAATAAAGCTGGGCATCAACTGCACAGAAACAAAAATGTATGTTATGCTTCGAATGATACTGCCTAAGGGAAGCATGTATAATGTAAATAGAATTGGCCCCAGCACAAAGCCCTGTGGAACTCCATAATTTACCTTATTGCGTGAAGAAGATTCACCATTTTACATGAACAAATTGGTGTCTATTAGGTAGATATGAGTCCAACCACTGCAATGCAGCATTTTTAATTCCTCTAGCATGGTGTAATCGCTGTAATAAAATATTGCTGTCGGTAGTATCGAAAACTGCACTGACATTTAGCAGGATAAGCACAGAAATAAGTTCACTGTCAGAAGCCATAAGATGATCATTTGTGACCTTCATTTATGCCTTATTGTGTACTGTGATGAGTTCTGACACCTGACTGAAACTCTTCAAATAAATTAGATCAGTTAGCTGTTGGCTAATGGACTAATATGGTTTGGAATCCATTAACCTGGAAACATACAAATTCTCTCACATGTGTTAGTTAATGTCTAAAATGTTTATTTACTTACAAAATGAGGGGTTTTAGGGATTAGTTTTGAAATCATTGATCATTTTCCAATTATAATTCCAACTTATTCCAAGGCCTTTTCAACTCATCTTAGCACAAGTGTGTTTTCCTCCTCACAGAAAACAGAAACAGAAGCTACTCACATTCTGTGACAAAGAAGTTGAGCATGGTAAGGACCACAGTGTGGCCACTGAACATGTAGTCGCCACATGTGTGAACCCCTGTCAGTGTCATCCCAAAACCGCTCCAGATGGCCACAGCTCGCTGTAGTTTGGCCCACATGTCGCCGTACATCTAGAAGGAAACAGGCAATACTCTAATCTTGCAAAGAGATCTGATACATGAGAAAAAGAGAAAAAAGATGCGTTACCTTTCCTGAACACTGCAGGTGCTGTCCTGGAACAGACAGGGAAGTGACAAACATGGTGATACAGCGCAGCATGAACACCGTCCCCATGAGGCTGCACATCCGCCGCAAGAGAATGGACCTAGAAGTAGTGAAATGTGAGTTTCCTGTGCTACTGACAGGCTCCTGGGATCGTTCAGAGCACCTACTGACCTGTGTTTATGGAGCAGCAGAACCAGCATCCAGATGTTACAGAGGATCACTCCACATGCCTCGGCCATGGCGAATGCCCAGGGTATTCTAGGCACACTGCGGAAAAGGACAACATCAGTGCTGAAATAACAGATTGAAAGTGAGCATTTATAGCTGATGTTGCTTAACATCTTACAACAAACATGACAGAAAAATTAGTTTGGTGTTTTGGTATATTAGTTTTAATAAATCATTTCAATGCATATAGATGTTATCTCCCAAGATATCTCTTTTGGAGATAATTAACTAGCCTGAATAATTTGCCTCAGTGTCTTGCCAAACACACACTGGAAATTCCTTGAAATAATCTCTCCTGGTAAGTTTTCATTTCATGAAAAGCCCAAAGCTGGTCATAAACAAAAGTAGGTCACCTTATAAACAATCCTCGAAGGTCTTTTTGAACCTCAGCGAGCACATCAGGAGTATATGAGGACAATAATAGAAACACGCCATAAGGAATTAGGGCAGTTATAATGTCAGCGATTTGGTGTGATACTCAAACATCATCGTTTGTAATATTTCAGAGGTGATTAACGTTTTGGTTGTAAGAAAATTTAAGAAAGCTCTTGTGAGCGATCACACCCACCTGTCTAGAAAAATATCTGGGAGCGGAGGGTATGTGCGCATGTCAGGGACCCTCTCGTGCACAATGACCATGACGAAGGATGTAAACCCAAACACGAACACCACATAGACAGAGCTAAGCACTGTCTTCCAGTACTCGGGATCGAGGCGCCGCATCTGCTGCTTGTACTTTCCATTAGTGTACTGGTGATACTCCTCTCCCACTGGTGCTGTGTCAGTGCTGTCGCAGTCTCTCCCCGGGTCTCCGTTACACAACCAGTCCAAACTGCCTCCGGAACCGGTGGGAGAGTGGCCATCATAGGGAAGACCCAGCTCCTCCAATAAATCAATGTTCTGTTTCTGAAGTTTCCGAATGGAGACCATTAGCCGCTTGATGTCCCCCAGCACCTTGAGCTCCAGTGGCGGCGAGCGGAGGTCGTACTCACTGAGGGCAAGCAGACTGGTGCCATCCAGCCGGTGCTTGTTGCACAGCAGGTCCACATAGTCGCAGAAGCCCTCTTCCTTCAACCACTTGGCAACGTGCTTAGGTGTCCAACGACGGACACTCAGCTGGGTCATTTCCTCCTGACACCAAAGGCTAAAAAGAAGAACAGCCACATTTAAGTTCAGCAGTATCAGTTCCTTATTGGCTTCCAAAACACCATGCAAAATAATATTCAGGATTAGTTTAAGGCACAGTTTATTTGCTCTGAATCAGCAGTAGTAACTTTAAAGACACTATGCAAGACTGCTGCGCAGACAGAAAATACATCCATTTTGTGACAAAATTATAGGTGATAAACAAATTTAAGACAAATCCTGAGTTACACAGGAAATCTGGGTAATCACAACTTATGCAGTTATATGACGCAAGTACTGGCAAGGATTTCCTATGGCACAATGGAAACCACACCCTACAATGTAAGTGAAGGAGCAGCTACATGTTATCCCAGGCCAAACAGTCAATTAAATCCTAAGGTATTATTGTCCTAGTCACATTAAAAGACATTATGACTATTTCTAACTTCATTATTAACCGAAATAAACGCTGCCTCAACAGTCTGCTCCTTGGACTGACAAGAAAGCAACACATTTCTGTGTTTTTTGATAAAAAATAATTTAAATAAACAGTCCAGCAACTACAGTCGACCTGCAATAACCCATATATTTAACCCATTTAAATATATCACTGGCTAGCATTTAAATCGGGCTTAGAAGCTCTTTGTATACTCCGAAGTTAACTTATCTCAGTATTTTGTCAGGCAACTATCTGGCCTATTAGTATGTAAAGACAAATACGCCAGAGATAAACGTGAAAGCATCCACATGCACCCCTGCCCACGGGGCTAACTCAGCTTAATACTAAAGACTGCTAGCTCACTGGTGCTAGCTCAATCAATGCGTGTGCTTTGCGGTCACTCACCAGCTCTGAGATGTAACAGAAGATGACACAGAATATATCTCTCCGGCTAACTAACGAAGTGACATCTCACAAGAATCAGAAGAAATCTTATTAGCATTTGCTTTAGTGACACGAGTTTGCTGGACATCATTACGCCCAGGCTTTGCGCTAGCTAGGAGTCCTGTTGACAACACAAGGCGGTAATGTCCAGAATAGCGGCGCACGCTAAAAGAAAACGCGGAACAACAGTGAAACAGTGACACTCTATGGTGAACAGGTGGTACTACACCGTTCTTACGTGTGAAATCGTATGACCAAAAACATTAAATAGAGTTGTAGTTATTTGCTAGGAGACATTAAACCAAAATTAGTTGGGGTGTATTTATACCCCAGTTTCTATACATGTGGCACTCTGTGGATTAGATAATATCCAAAATAGATTCAAACATGTGTCCTCAATTCTCGTTTTTTAATTAATTAAAATGCATGCTGTACAATCATTCCACCGTGAAAAAAGAACACTTTAAAGAAATCATTCAAAACCCCAAAGGACAATGACAATAATGAGCATGATGAGTGTAAACTTCTGACCACAACTATATGTATTTTTGCAACTGATAAAATTAGAAATTATGAGTTGACATAAAATGTACTTTAAAAAAAACATTTAGAGATGTACAGCTGGCCTACATTCAGAGTAAGGTAGGTCACTGTTTTAATTTTAGAACAGCAACACCTGTCCTTGTCTGTGGCTGCCAGCGTGGTCTCAGTGAAGGTTTAACAGTTTGAAAATAAATGTTGAGAGAATAAATCATACATAGGGATATGCATGTGGTCAACAATGAACAATCTGCAGGAAAATAGTGCAGCTTCTCCTGCCTCTCCTTCTGTGAAAGACCTTGAGAAGATTTTGTATGGAGGTAAAAGGTTTGGTAATCATGTTGATGAAGTTTGGCCTAACCTGTTCATTGGAGATATGTAAGTCTTTAAAATTGTTCTTGATGGCTTATACAACATAATCAGCCTAGATCAATTACCAGTTAGAAAGACTGATTGCTTTTTTCTTTGTAGGTCAGTGGCTAATGATCGCTACAGTCTGTGGAAGCTGGGAATCACCCATGTTGTAAATGCAGCTCATGGGAAGACGCACTGTCAGGGGAGTCACTACTTCTATGGATCCACCGTGGATTATTATGGAGTGCCTGCAGATGACTCACCGTCTTTTGACCTCTCTCGATATTTCTTTCCCTCTGCTGAGTATATTCATAACGCACTTGACACGACAAGTGGTAAATACCCATCATGTTTAATGTCAGCCTCCGCCGACCTCTCACTCGTCTCATCCCTTATCGACCACATGCTTTATGCTCACCGTGATATTTTTCTTCTCCTTCCTCTCCAGGTCGAGTTCTCGTCCACTGTGCTGTTGGCGTGAGCAGGTCTGCCTCCATCGTCCTGGCCTACCTAATGATCCACCACAATTACACGCTCCTAGATGCAATCAATAAGGTCAAAGAGCGCAGGTGGATCTTCCCAAACAGAGGATTCCTTAAACAGCTTCGTGCTTTGGATATGAAACTGCAAAAGACTTCATGACCGCTTCAAAAAATAAAGATCTTCAAATGCACATAACCTCAAAACAGCTTTTTCTCCAGACAAATGAGAGACTTGATGACTGTGTCAGTTGAAGGAAATGCTGTGCTTTGACTTTAATCAGTTTGTTTCAGGAATGGAATCTAATCAAATGTATTTCCCCCACAACTCTGGCGCTGTGTTTGATGTGAATTATGCGGCATCTCTATATAATATCGACCCGCGTCTTAATAGGAGATCAATGTAATGAACTCTCCTCTGGGCAGAATCAATTTAAGGGACTGAATATGAGATATTGTTTTTATTTAACCTTAGTGTTGTGTTGAAGAAGCTTTTATCCAATGTGCTGCAGGTGAAATTAATCTGCAGTGTGTTTTCATTTTAAACCTATTCTTTTTTTTTTTTTTTGGGGGGGGGGGGGGGGGGGGGGTTTCTTGGTAAGTACAAAAACTTACATAAAACTTTTATTTTGAAACAACATAACCAGTACACCATGGAAGCCTTTTTTTATCAGTATATTAGCAGTTCTCTTGCAGATGTCCTAAATTTTATTTTGTTACCACAATTGTGATTTGGGGTAAAATGTCTCCAAAAATTATTGGATGAATTGAACCGAAATTTGTCCAGACACTGTGATCCCCTCAGGAACTTTTTATTGTTGACTCTCATGAACTAATGTCATCAGGTCAAATCCACAGTTCTTCTCAAGTGGTGCTTCATGACTAAGTACCTGTAAACAACAGATTAACATTATCATCTGTTATCTACAGATGAGACATTCGTGACTGTAGCAATGCTTACATATTGGACCAAGGTGATGAACTTGATCATCATGAGGCTCTTTGATCCTGTCTATACTCTATCTTTGAATGTGTTCTTCATTTAAAGTTGTTGCTTCTGTCTTCAAATCTCCAGCTGATTGTTTTAATCAGTTCCACTAATAATAATACTAATAAATTAAATCATAATCATTATTTGTTGGCACAAATGGAATACTATAAAAGTAAAACATTATATAAGATGGTCATGGTGATTTTTTAATAATATAAAAGTCACTCCTGAATCAAATGGTAAGCCGTCCAAGTGTTTAATTTATATAATATATGTATAGATATATATGTTTCCCGGCAAATTTAGGTTACTCATGTTGGTTTGCTAGCAACATTTTTTAACAGCATTAGCTAACTTCTTCACTAATGATGTTAAAATGCTATACAAGACCTATCTAGACCTGACAATCATCTATAGAAACAACAACAGGTTTTATTTTAGAAAGTGAAACCTTTCAGCTAATAAGGGTAACTTTGCTTTCGGTTACTCATGTTGGTTTGCTAGTAACAATTTTTAACAGCATTAGCTAACTTCTTCGCTAATGATGTTAAAATGCTATACAAGACCTATCTAGACCTGACAATCATCTATAGAAACAACAACAGGTTTTATTTTAGAAAGTGAAACCTTTCAGCTAATAAGGGTAACTTTGCTTTCGGTTACTCATGTTGGTTTGCTAGTAACAGTTTTTAACAGCATTAGCAACTTCTTGGCTTATGCTAACTGAATGTGCAGACAATGTTGATCCTTAACCAACACTGTTATGATAATGTAGAAACAACACCAACATGAGGATTCAGCTAATAAGGATAGCTTCACTTTTATTGCCACTAGAAGGTCAAAGAGCCACTGCACAGACATTATGTTGGTCTGTTGCCACACTCCTGACTTGCTAAGCTAGCTAAGGAATGATAAATAAACAAAAACACTGTTAAGATTAGCAAGTCAAAGTGATGCAAAATGTCAAAGGACAAGACAAAAAAGGAACACTAAATCCTTTGCTAATGGCACATTTTCCTACATGGCATCCCTGTCAAGGGCATATGTGGACACATGATGAAAGGACCCTGGTTAAATGCATCCTGGAAAACCTCACAAGAGATTTTAGCAGATGAATTTCCATTGTTATCACATTAAAAAAAACACACACACACATCTTAAAATCAAGTGTTAGCAGGATCAAGGTTTTATTTTCTGGCATTTCCAGCAAGTGGTGGCGGTTTCATTATCTTATTAACGAGACAAAACACAGCAGCCTTCCCGTGTCTCTTCAGCATGTATCACATTCCTTGCAGCTGATAATGGGGAAATCTGTTCAGAATTTTGCACACCTAACTTTTTTGCACATTAGAAGAAAGAAAAAAATAAATAAAGATTCAACCTTGCCTCCGAGTCTCAGGTATAATGGGCTCCCTCCATCCCCGCTGGTGATGGCTGTGTGCATCAAAACCTAGCAGGCTGGGGAACTTTTTCAGATAACACAGGTCTTTGGAATGTGACAATGTGCTTTGGGTTTCCTCCGACGAAAGTGACTATGCAGCCTGACAGTCTTTTGATTTCAATGGTCTCTTAGCAAGAAGAATCCTCTTCACAGATATCCTGAATCACCAACGGCTCAGAAACATCTCCCTCTACATTACCGCTGTTCTCGAGAACAAAAGCTAATTTTTAGTGTCTGGTAAATTGTCTGGAGCTCATTCTTAAGTGTCTCTTGTAGAGAATAACTATTCTTAAAATGGTTGTAAAAGAGCTTCTCAACCAGAAAGCTCAAAGGGGAACAAACGCACAATCGCACCATGCTTGTCAAACTACTCTTTCTCTAGCATTTATGGATCACATTCTTAAAGTTTCACATACATATTCAGCTGGATTCCCCCCCACATTTTCACACCACTCTAGAGTCTTCAACAAGGAGAAGCAGCACTTTGAATTATCAATCAATAACCGTCTCCAGGTTAAAAATGACCCGGAGACATTTATTGACTGATTCTGCATCCAACATTGGTACTGGTATTCAACAACACGCCACTGCACCCACATTTTACATACACATTCATGACTCCGAATGAAGAAAAGTCATTACATTTCATGGTGCGAGGGAGAAGTTAATTAGTTTTTTAAAGCTAAAATGGGTGAAATTGACCTGCAACATAATAGAGGAGTTAAAATAGACATTTGCACAGTATGAGAGGCTGTTTAATGTCATGAACAGCCCACAGCAAAGCTCTTTTCTCTCTCTTTTTTTTTTAAATTTCCATTTTGCTTTCACATGATATTTGTGTCAGAGCGTAAACTAGCTGCATGAAGCTGTTACCCTCTTTCTCTTCTATAACTGCCAAATTACACTGGACTTTCTGTCACACAGCATAATCACTTCACTCAAACATTTTGCCCATAATTACATTTAGTTATTGCTCGTTTATGGCATGATTCATCTGTTTGAGGCTTATTAAATCTCAGTCCCGCCGTGGTGTGAAAAGTACAAGCCCCGGCTGCAGTGTTTGTTGTTCTGCCCTCTGCACGAGTAAGACTACACGCTAGGTTATGTACTAAATTGGGTAACTGTCCAGTGATAGCAGATAAACACCTGCTCGTACACATCATCTTGAGCCGGAGAAAGACGGGGAACCGCTTTAAAACAACAAACATTTGGACCAGTGATCGATCCAAGACAAGGGATTTGGATTTTAAAATGTCAGCGCTGAGAAGCAAGAGAAAAGAATATCTAAGTGTGAAGGATTTGCAGAAGCTTTTGGACTCTTGCAAGCTGCACCTCAATCAAATTGACGAAGTGTGGCCGAACATATACATAGGAAATGTGTAAGTATGTACTTTTATTTCAGATGATTCGGTTGCCTTGCAAAGGCTGTTTTCTTTGACATAACTGCTTCCACGTATTGTTTCATTCTGGCATAAAAATCATTGTGCTGTGATGCGTAGAGTTCCCATAAGTCTTGAACCTCTTTCTGTCTCTTTGTCTTGCTAGGGCAGTAGCCCAAAACAAGGCTGCCTTGCTGAAATTAGGTATAACTCATGTATTAAACGCTGCTCACTCCAAGCGAGGCAGCATAGGGAACCAAAGCTTTTATGGCAACGACTTTGTGTATTGTGGCATTCCAGCAGATGACTCGACACACTTTGATCTGGATGTTTACTTTCAGCCTGCAGCCGATTTCATTCACAAAGCTCTGAAGTCACCTGATGGTAAGACTCCTTGAGGCTTTTAATATAGTATTACAAGTGCTACAGTTTTCCTTTCTCAAATCCCTGTATATCACATCTTTTATTTAACTCTGCAAATCCTTATTACAGTAAAGCCACTCATTCCACTCAAATTCTCCCACCACGCTGTCCTTTCAATGTCACCTGTCAGCACAATGTAAGACAGCTTTAAGTGTATTTTCAGCCAGCTGTAATAATAAGAGTCTTACCTTGCAGAATTTAGGTATATAATGTGACCATGGCTCTTTTCAAAGAAGCTATCAAGCAGCGGACAGGTTGGGATTAAGGAGACAGTTGGGCCCAGTCTGCAAAGGGACCTTAAATGAACAAAGAGTGAATTGTAGGCACTATTTTTAGCTCGCAGCAGGGAAAAAGAAAGACCACAGCGTGAGACGGGCAGTCATGTATGATATTAATAAGTCTGAGGCTTCTCGCTAATCCTTTCTTCACATCCCTCCCTTCATCTTGCCTGTTCTTCAGGGAAAGTTCTGGTGCACTGCATCATGGGAATGAGCCGGTCATCGACCTTGGTTTTGGCATACCTCATGATCTACCATCATCTCCCACTCAAACAGGCTCTGCAGAAGCTGATCCAGAAAAGAGCCATCTACCCCAACAGAAATTTCCTGGCTTTGCTGTTGGATCTGGATCTTCAACTGACAAAGAAAAAGAAAACATGTCGGATCCTGTAGTGAAAAGAGGCATTTACATCTTCAGCCACAAAGCCACGAGGTGGTTTCTGGGAATAACGATGCCAGCCAGTCTGTCGGTGCAACAGTCCAGACTGAAACGTTTAGACACATCATCGTGAAATTTGGTTCGACTGAGTGAATTTCTGTCGACTCAACTCTGTACACTCATTAGTCTTTACTTTTATTATGATGAGGTTCACCATTCTAAACAAGCTCAGATATATAGATAGATAGATAGATAGATAGATAGATAGATAGATAGATAGATAGATAGATAGATAGATAGATAGATAGATAGATAGATAGATAGATAGATAGATAGATAGATAGCAAAGTTTCATATTAAAGGAGATTTTCAAATGTTAACATAGGCCTATACAGGCTCATAAAGATTACATGCTACATGATTACAAGCTAAAGAGTAGCAAATAAACATGCTAATGTTAGCATACCGACATCGTATTGTATATGCCCGCGGTCCCCAACCCGTGAGTTGTTTGGTACCGGGCCGTGAGAGTTGAGGCTCAGGTGTGAAATTTATGGTTCTCAGGGTTTTTATCAGTTTTTATCGTTAACTCAGTTTCCCTGGATCTTTTCCCGTGTGTTATGAATAAATATTCTTTTTTTGGTATCGGTACTGGTTTTATTTTGTTGTATTTATCCGCGACACCTTAAAGGCCGGTCCGTGAAAATATTGTCGGACATAAACCGGTCTTAGGCATAAAAAAAGGTTGGGGACCGCTGGTATATGGTAGATCCTAATAGCGTGCTAGCTGTTGTCAATAAGCGTGAAACTTTAGGTCTGATAGTAATATGATAATACTTGAATACTACAGCATGTTAGCGTTGAACTACCTCACATTTTTTATATTCTGGATCAAACAATCATTCTCCAGGCTTTCTGAAGAGAGAGGGCATTGGCTACTTTTTCATTCATTTTCAGTCACTGAACCTGACCATTTTCAGAAGAAAGTTGTTTTGGGGGGGGGGGGGGTTAGGCACTGTGTTACTAGCAGCCTGTTGCAAAACTAAGCAGCCAGTTCCTATTTCTTTAGTTGATTCTGGCACATTTTGACAGATATAAAAGTTTTGCACCAACAAGGTGTCTCCCAGGGGACTGTTAGCCAAAAACTTGACAAATCTGAGCACTGTGTGCAGTGTGTGCTTAAAAATGTGATTAAGTGAGGTGAAAAAAGTGGCAGGCACGTATCTACATGAGATGAACAGTATCTGAAAGCCATGTCTCAGGTCTTAGTTGAAGGGTGGCTGTCAAGAAACTATTCTTAAGAGATGAAAACAAGCAGAAAAGACTTGGTTATGCCAAATTACACAAGAACTGGACTGATATGAGCTGCAACAGGTCTAATGGAGTGATTATTATTTAATCATCAGTATTTATAGAGGAGGTCAGGAGAGAACAACAACAGTGAGTGTCTGCATTTCAGCCAATATTATCAATATTACCATCAGCATGTCACTGATCCTAAAAACACTACCTCCGATGTAAAAGCATAGCTGGATAGAAAAAAGACACAATATAAGTCACGGATCTGCCTCTTCAGAGCCTGGACCTCAAGCAGAGCGGGATCATCTTGACAGAGAACAGAATAAAGGGCAGCCAACATCCAAAGAAGAGCTTCAAATGTCCTTGAAGCAGCTGGAGAACTATTCCTGAAGACTACTTAAAGAAAATATTAAAAGAAAGTTTATCTGACTTAGGTTGCGTTAAAGAAGAAAATGATGGTGATAGCAAATACATTTCTCGTTAGAATTGTACAAACTCTCTATGTATGTTTATACATGTATCAATAAATTTACCAATTTTGTTTTTCCTATCGAAAAATACAAAATGAGAGGTGGCTCAAGGGTTTCGCACAATATTGTTCATGGACATTTGAGCCCAACGAAAGCAGATGCTGGCACGAAAATAGCTTAATTATCTTTCTCCAAATCCAGTGATCTTCATTTATAATAGACTAAGCTGCATCATCTCCTCATTAGCCTGCTAACTGGGATTTTTAATGCAGCGAGGTTGTTGGTTTTTTTTATGTCTTAACAAAAAGAGAGTCTGGTTGCAGAAATAAATTTAATGTCAAGTAAAATGACAACAGGGCATGTTTACAACACTGAGACAAGTCTTTACTTCTCATTCTTGTAAGACGTTTTTTCTTCTACAACAACAGAGTAGACCAAATGTCTAATGGAACATGTTTTGCAAAGCATAACATTTTAGTAGAGTCTCTAGGTAACTCAGAAAAGAGGGAATCAATCAACAGCATCTGTTCAACACATCGCTGTTCACAGCGTGTGAAATTCATTTGGTGTATTTGTCAAGGCAGTGCAGTTGATCACTGCTGTGCATGAAAAGGTTTCAGGTCTTTTGATTGCCCATGAAATCAACTGTAGAGGCAAAGGTACACACACATTCATCTAGCTTGACACCAATGATTTCGACCTGTTTTGAATTATTATGTTTCTCTGAATCAAACATTCACAGTAAGCAAGAATGTACAGTATTATACACAGAATTATAAGTCATACGTTCAATTTCTAGATATAGACTTTGTCAGTACTTACAAAAACATACAATAAATGTAGACATTTTTACAAAGAAATGTTTGTATTTGCTCATCCATCTATATTTGTGTCATTTTTCTGCAATATAAATATATATTTTTAGCTTTTTAAAACTTCATCAGAGTGTCAATATTGTGGGTTTATTGCAAGTTCCCATTTTTGCTGATATAATTAAGAAAAAATCTCTGCTATCACTTAATTGCACCAAGAAAAAAACATAATCTATACTTTTTTTTTTACATCGAATGACCGAGTGTTGATTCAAACACAGTTCAAAGTGGAAAAAAAGCTCAGGGAAGTCAGGTTTAAACTCAGCTACAAGCAGCTCTGATCTAATTTTCTTGCTATTGAAAAAGCCGTGTCCTATCCTCCCTCCTGTGCTGGCAGCTCGGGTAACCTTTAAGGAATGCAGAATATGGTGCCAGAATTATTTTGGGCTGAGATTCAGATGTTAAAATAGCAAAAAAGGTTGCAGGGTAGATTACCAAGGAGAACACAGGCAGTTGTGCTGTCGACCTACATGTAGCTGTTGTACAGAGAGGCCATGAAAAGCAACGTTTCCAACCAAGGCAAGTGTCAACCAACAATGTGTGCTTACAAAGTGATTACAGATAAATGTAGGCGATGTATATTCATAAGTGTGTGGATTTATTGCACTGTATAGCTTTATTTGCAAGATAAACATGTTGACAGAGTACTTGTGAAGTAGTATTCACTGTGATACTGCATTGCCTGACGGATTATGATACTTTCTTTTTTTATTAATTGGCCCACAAATCCAGATGAACCACATCTGAAAGGCTAAAGAGGGAAGTGTAATTCATAAAACCACCAAGAAGAGGCCCAGAGGAGGTAAAAAGTCATTTTTATTTGCCCTCCATGTTAACCGCGGGCACTTTCCCATACATAGCATCTTTAATTACACAGAAGTGGAGCAGGAAGGACAGGTTAGCCTAAGGGGAGAGGGTATGAAAGCAGTGCTGCAGCTCAACATGCGCACCAGGGAAATCAGTTCTCTGCCCCTGAGTGTGGGAGGCAGGAAAGGGTTGTGCTTATAGATCAATGAGGAGAAAGAAGAGCCTCCAGGTACGCGAGGCGCATGTTGTACCTGTGCAAAGACACCATTTAGCTCACACAATCGTATGCATGAAGCTTACACTGCGTTAGATGCAGCATTTCCTTCATGCACACGTGTTCTGTGTGACACACACGAATGCACATGCAGGGATGGATAGAGGCAACATGATGTTTGAGTAAACCTCCATATGTCACACCAGCGAAACAAAAGGTCACTAAAACAGATTTGGTCTCAATGACTCATCCCTGTGGACACGACAAAAAGTCTCAAAACCCTCCACACGCGGCGAGAATGCAAATAAGAAGCTCGGCTGCTGTTAGTTTCTTTTCGATAACAATGCCTACACATCGCTTGTACGTCCACAGCCTCAAGCACAGTCACACACCTGCCTAAATGGATGCTAATGCATACAGTTTGCATAGTACGAGTCTCTCTAGAGCTCAGTGTGTAAATTGTAAATGCACAGGTTAGACTTGCCTGCAGCAAATGAAAAGTGGTTTATAGGCATTTTTCTGCATCTCTGGAAATAAATAAATCTATCCAGTGCTGCTATATAGATACAATAATGAGAGCATCATAAGGTCAGCTTACAATCACATGATCCTTTGCTACTGTGGAATGTGTTAATTGTCATAATTGCAGTCTGTATTTAAAGGCTACAGACCTGTATATGAAACCTGCTAATTAACGATCCTTGCTATAATCCCACGCTGCACTTAGCAGTCGTTTCTCGGTGTTTCCTAAGATGATGCGTACATTTCAATTAGGCATTTCAGTGGAGTTAGTTGGTATTCATGGGCAATGCAGATGAACCCTGAAACTCTTTGAGCATCTTTCTTAAAGTTTGAAGTATAGTAAAGGGCAAAGTGCAGTAAAACATACGCTTTTATTGAGTTCTCAGTTTTTATCGCGGTTCAAATTTCAGGGCAACGACCACTTCTTTTCTTAATGAAAGGTTGTAAAAGCAGAAGTGGAGAATTCAGACATGCCCAGAGGCCTCAGCTGCCTGGCGAGCCCTGAGGGGGCAGAAGGCCGGTATGAAACCCCCCCAGCTTCAGAGCTTCAGAGACTGATGTGGACAAAAAAAGGGACCAGTAACCATCTGGATGAGGTTCATCCCGGGATCTACATCGGAGACATGTGAGAGTGACATGTTACTGAAATGATTCACTATGGCTAATGTGTTTAAATATAATTCCACCGGCTTTTGTAATAAAGTAATTAAGTATTCTCTTAATTGGGCTCAGATTGTGAGTGCATGTGTAATTAAAGGCACCATTATGATTTTTACATTATTGAAATTGATCTTTTTTTTATAAAAGCACCTGGTTATCACACTAATGCGCAAAACATTAACAAGCTTTCATCACAACTGTATACACAGTCATCCAAGTGCTAATGCCCATGTGAATAGTGTGTCGTAGCCTTATGCTAACATGCTAACATCCAACTTTACAATAATAAAAGTAGCTGTTTTATGAATACTGTTTTGTAGCATACTGTCTATTTTTATTTTTAGATACATGGGCAGTTTTTTGCCTTCATCATAGAATATTTAGGTACACCTGCTAATTGTTAGCAATTATCTAATCAGCCAATCAAGTGATAGCAACTTAGTGCATTTAGGCATACAGACATAGTCAACAAGACCTGCTAAAGTTCAAGGTGACCATCATAATGGAGATGAAAAGTGATTTAAGTGACTTTGAACATAGCATAGGACATGCCAGATGGGCTGGTCTTGTGATTACAGTACCGTCTCTAGTTTTGACAGAGAAAATATTCTGTGAGCGGCAGTTCGTAGGGAGAAAACGTCTTGTTCATCCAAAGAGTTAGAATATAGAATATAATGGCAAGAGCGCTTTGAGCTGATAACAAGGTAACAGTAGCTCATTACAACTAAGGTATGCAGAAGAGCATCTCTGAACACATGACATGTGGAACCCTGAAGGACCACAGCAGCAGAAGACCACACTGGGTGACACTCATGGCTGCTATAAACAGGAAAGCAACCCTTCACACAGACTCACCAATATTGCCTGGTGTGATGAGCATCAATTTCTGCTGCAACATTTGGCTGGTGGGGTCAGAATTGGACATAAAAATCATTAGAAGCATAGATCCATCCTGCCTCGCATCAAAAGTTCAGGTTGTTGGTGGAAGTGTAATGTTATGTCTCCTTAAATACCAAATGAGAATTATTTAAACACCACAGGCTACCTGAGTACTGTTGTTGACTGTGTCCACCCCTTTATGACCACAGTGTACCCATGTTCTGATGGCTGCTTCCAGCAGTTCCCTGCACTCGGATGACCTCCACAGTCACCGGATCTTGATCCAATAGAGCACCTTTGGGATATAGTGAAACATAAGATTCACATCACAACATACTCTTTACTTTTCATATCATGCATGAAGGGATCTTGATTAAACTCTAAGAAGGATAAGGTAGGGCATTTGACAGATATATTATATGCATTACTATATGTGTAACCACAGAGGAAAAAAATACCCCCTTAAAGGGCAAAAAACAGGGACTGCGTCTTGTGCACTGCACTGTGCAGTCTCTCTGTATCATTCATAATAAAATGTAATATTATAACAATTCAGTTAATTAACCTAATGATCTACATTTTCCCCCACTGCCTGCCATCTTCCTTCTTCTCCTCGAGTTAGCTTTCTTTGCATTATCCTCATCATTTGTCTCGTTTGATTGCAGAGATAATTGTAATTTTTCCCTTTAGGTACGCAGCCAAAGACAAAAGGACTCTCCAGGCTCATCGCATCACCCACGTGCTTAATGCAGCTGATGGGAAGTTCAATGTGAACACAGGGCCCAGCTTCTACCGAGACACCGCCATCACTTATCATGGAGTCGAAGCTTTTGACATGCCATCCTTTGACTTGAGTCCCTTCTTTTACCCAGCGGCCAATTTCATCAAGAGCGCTTTGAGCTCTCCCACAGGTGAGGCGCTCTCACAGCGCTCAAGGTATCCTTCATCGTTTTCACACATTAACTCGGGGAAGACGAGCCAAGGCAGAGAAACATTTGTCAGTCAATTCCCATTTACAGCAGACCCCAGTTGTATCAGTCATTAAAATGCAAATCAAACACTAAACATAATATCAAGCTAATATCTTTCCCCCATGGTAATCTTCTCATAAGCTCAGACCTCGGCCAGGAAAATTGGTTTTAAATGGATTGCCCTGGCAATTTGTAAGCAACACTTTTATTGGACATGGAAATTACACAATTATGTTTGTGGCCTGTGCTTTCCTGGCCCGTTATGCAAAGTGAAGTCAGTATCTGACATGACAGTAATAAGATGAGGCCTCCTTCTTCACATGCTGGCTGATCGGGGGCTCCAGTGTGTGGCGGGGCCTACAGTAATCCCCGGCAGAAATACACAGAAGCCAAGACAGTTCAATTACGCGCTCCTCTGCGCCCTAATCCTCAGGCCTGATAAGGAACCAGGGATTACCGTGTGTAGAAACATTTGTTGCAACATTGTTGAAAACTTTTAGTCGGGAGTAAGAAGTACTCCTCCCTGTGATGTGCACGGTTTTTAATCCACAGAGGAGTTACAAATTAGATATTTAGAACAAACTTTACAACAATAATCCACTGATTGCTGTAGGCTGGTGGGCTGCTGCGTTCTGAAATGATCCACAGGAAGTCTGATTTTCTGCCTTCTGACTGGCAGGTAAAGTCTTCGTCCACTGTGCAATGGGCCTCAGCCGCTCATCCACCTTGGTTCTGGCTTACCTGATGATCCATGAGAACATGACTCTGGTGGACGCCATCAAAGCTGTGGGCGCCAACAGGAACATTTCTCCCAATAACGGGTTCTTGGAGCAGCTCCGAGCACTGGACACAAAGCTCCACTGCCAGGGATTATCCAGGAGCTTCAACGGGCGGACGTAAAAATAAAATCCTTCGGCCCATAAATTTGGATAATATTTTTGACCCCTGTCCATATCTGAGTGTTAAAAAGCTATTACAGTGATAATGTTTTTGTAATGAACAGGTACTTCAGCTGTATTTAAAGGGCTTCAAGGTAAGAAAATTTAATAACCTGATGAAGAGTGATTTTTAAACATTAACAATTAAGTTATATGAACAAAACGTGCTTAAATTATCAGCTCAAAATACCCAAAAGTATGACACAAAAGGACGACTGTGAGGTTTTAAGGTTACAAAATCAGAATTAACACAAAACACAAAGAAGATTACATTTGTGTTTAACTGTTGAAATTCTTCCCCATCTGTGCCTGTGTCTCCTGTCTGCAGTCAAAGCCTTTAAAAAGCTTCAAAACAGTTACATTTGTGTTTGAGAAACTACAGAAAAGTTACTGCACTCAGTGAGTTATACAGTCACAGATTACACTACAATGTTTACTTGACAGTGAGTCATACAAATGCTACAGTTCTTGCCCTTTAACAAATACAGTCAAATACAGCCCTTTGACTGGGCCATCGCAGCACTTTCATTCTTTTCTTTTTCAGCCGTTTGAATGTAGATTTGCTCTTGTGCTTGGAATCATTGTCTGGTTTCAGCCAACCTTTAGCCATCAGACAGATGGTCTCATATTTGATTTTAGAATAATTTGGTAGAGGAGTTCAAGCTCAGCTTAATGACTGAAAGGTGTACATGTCCCGAGGCTGCAAGACAAGCCCAAATTATCAGCCCTCCACCACTGTGCTTCACAATAGATATGAAGTTTTGTGCTGATATGCTGTGTTCAGTTTTCTGCTGCAGTGGATTATGGACAAACATCACCAGACATTGTTCCACAGGTTTCCAGACAGAAAAGAGGTTTTCTGCTGACAGCCTTTCTAAACACTTTTGTTCAGCCTTTCTTCAAAATTTGCCTTCATGAAGTTTAACATTTACTTTCCTAACTGAGCCCTGTGGAGTCTGAGACGTAAATCTTGAGTTTCCTGAGGCTTCCCCGAGCATTGTACCGAATTTGCTGAGAAGACTGTGGCATTGTGTTAACACAAGCCTGCCAAAGCCCTGCTTTTACAGAGGCGCTGGCACTGCTGATGATCAGTTAATCAAATCCATTTGATTAGCAGCACCTGGCTGCTGCCCTAACCTCGTAATTCCTATGAAAACAGTCAGTGTGTACAGAGTTTTGTAAATAGTTTCTTCTTTCTTCTTTTTTTTCTGCCCGTCCAATATTTACTACTGCACCTGTAAAACATCTATTATTTTGTTTAGTCTATATAATATGGAATGCACACACAGAAACGTGAGGAATTTATTTTGTATTTTCATGAACTTTCTTTAAAACTTTTTTAAAGTCAGACTTTACCATCAGAAAACTCAGTTTTCTAATGAAGTTCATGAAATATGATGGAGAGTTTAAAAGCAGCTGCTAAATGTACGCTTTCCTAAAGATTGTCTTGTCAACAGCACAGTGTGGTTCGCTTCTCTCAGCAGTTTAAATTATCCTTAACATACTGACTCAGACCTTCACTCCAGAAATTCAACTCTCAGTATAGCTTATATAATCTTTGTGTTCTTCATAATGACAGGAGCAACCTATGCAATCAAAGACGGGACTTTAATAGTTTGTTGACGACGACATCAGGCAAAATAGGAAGTCATTCATTTATTCTCGTCAGATGATTTAAAATAAAGAGACACAGCAACACCATCTGCAATAGCTCAAACTGTGGTTTGAGCTCAAACTGTGGTTTGAGCTCGTTCAGCGTGGCAACCTGACATTAATTCCCCACCATGTTTTGGATCACTTGCACTATTACAACCATTAAAACTGCAACGGCTCAGTAGTCGAATTTATCACAGCACAAGCAGCCTGGTTTCTGTCACAGTCATCTGAGGAATAAATAGTCCACACTGCTTGTGCCCAGTCTCTGGTATGTTCAGCTGTCTCGTTCCAGTGGGGCTCAGCCTCAAAACAACACTGATATCCAGCTCAGATGTAAAACAGCGCGAGCCGCACCAGTAAGGTTAGTATTCGCTGTTGGTTTGTCTCAAAAGCCTGCAGCAAGAAACACCAGCAGGACAGCAGTAATAATCAACATTTGCATCCTGGAACATAAAGTATCTTGCAAAGTTATTTATCTATGTACTGAGTTGAGTGAAAGTGATAATTATATAAAAACACTGAGGTGAGAGAGATACAGATATGACCTCAAAGGAGGAGCCAAAGTATCAGACACCACCCACCTGCGATCTGCTCAGCCTTCTGTTGAAGAACAGACGCCCCACTGGAGCTGTCAACGAGGTTTGGCCCAACCTCTACATCGGAGATGCGTAAGTGACATTCTCACTTTGGGGGCCCCTAACTGCAATATGGTGATCTGATTGTGAAACTGTCGCTGCAAACAAGTGTATTTGGCCAACTGATGGGACAAATATAAAATCTGTACATTTGAGTCACCGGTGATGCATTTACACACATATGCTTCCGGAGCTGCACACAGGCGAGAAAAATTGCTAAAAATGACATTTCTCATAGCCTCTCCTGTGTCATTTACAGAGCTGCAGCTCGGGATAAAACCCTGTTAGCAAAACTGGAAATAACACACGTGGTGAATGCTGCAGATGGCCCCCAGCACATTGACACCGGGCCAGGTTTCTACGCAGACGCCAGCATACTGTATCACGGAGTAGAAGCACCAGACTGTAAAGATTTTGACTTGAGCCCTTTCTTCAGTGAGACTGCTGATTTTATTCATGGTGCTCTGAGCCAAAAAGGTACCAGTCTATTTTAGCAACACATGACAAAATAAACACATAAGGATTGAGCTTTAATAATATGTTACAGTCCAACACATCCTAATATAGAAAAATGATGCATCATCAAGCTGAAAAATGATAAATAATAATGATATTTTATGTTTTGTTGCACATATTTAAATGCATGAAAACATAAATAATTGCCTTTGCGTCTGGGTCGTGTGCGGAGACTCCAGCTGCTCTGTATAATCTAAAATAATTTCACAATGTTTTATTATTTTTAACTTTTATTTTAAAAATGTAAGGCTTCTATTTTTCCCCATTGCACAAACATTTAGAAGAACAATAATTTGAAATAAAATCAATTTAAAATGGTAAAGAGAGTTAAAGTTGTGAGCAGTTACTACAGGGACACGTAAACACTATTAATGCTATGACAGCACCTGTGTGTGTGCCATCATATGTCATCATTTCTGCTGTGAAAAGAACCTTTTGTGACTGTTACACCGTGAGCTGAGCCCACAGTTGTAATTAATCCCTTTGTTGTTTGTGTTTAACCCAACGAGCCGCAGAATTCGCAGCTTATTTTAGAGTCTGCCTTTTGTCCGTGCAAGGAAGGTGCTCGTCCACTGCGCTCGGGGAATCAGCCGCTCGGCAGCTCTTACGCTGGCCTTCCTCATGATCAAAGAAAGGCTCACACTGGTGGAGGCTGTGGAGGTTGTGTGCCGGCACAGAAACATCCTCCCAAATGTTGGATTTCTGAAACAGCTCCGCGAGCTGGACTCATCCCTATTCACGTAGTAGAGCACATAACGCCAAAAAGGGGACAGTTTCATAGTTGGCATTATCTGTGCAGATGAAATCGTCCTGGTGGCTCCATTTGGGTGGCTTCGGGCACTCGCATCTTAAGTGAATTAAAGCACCATGTAATCCAACTTGGCTTGATGGGATTTTGCTTAGCTTAGTCAAGCGATACATCAGCATTCATAATAGCACACTTAAACACACAACATGCAGAGCACAAAGTAGAACTGACAGACAAATGTTTTGTCAGGTGAGCGATCAGCACAGACAGTCTGCCTGTCAGAAAGGGTTTGTCAACACTAAAATAAAGTTAGCAGAAAGTTAAAAAGACTTCAATCCTGTCATGTTCGGTTCATTTTTGACACAAACGGAACCTCATTGTATTTGAGACAAGACTATTTCAAGCCTTATTTTTTAATCTCTTTGTGTTTTTCACACTACAATTCTCCATTTTACAAACCAGAATCCATCACTCCAGATTTCTGGGTGATTTCTTTTTTTCTCAGTTTTCCATAATTGAAATGTATGAAAGTCAATTAGCCCACTCATGCATGAGCTGTGTAATTGATTGCTTCAAAAGCTCATATTGTAATATAATGCTGTTTATGATTAGACTAAATTTTAAAATATTATATAATTTTAATAAAAATGAATGCACAATTACTGCTCACTATGGCGGACTACACAGCTCAAACAGTGCCATACACGTCACAAAAAGTGATGGTTCTTTGCTATTATTGTTATTAATAATAAACTACTCTTTATTTATTAACAATAGTGTTTTATATTGCAAGATAAACACCCTTCAAAATGACACACATTAACCCGATGAGCCACAGATCTCTGTGCAAGCACTTGGAGAAAGAAACCTCCTTTTTAAGAGGAAATCATGGACAAAACCAGTTTGTGGAGAGCAGCCATCTGCTGTGACCAGTCAGGATGAGGGAAAAGTAGTAAAATGTAGCAAAAGCATATCCGTAGAGAAAAATACAGTCATGACATTGGTCCTCCCCAGACCTCAACATTATTGAAGCAGTGTGGGATCATCTTGACAGAGAACAGACTAAATAGCAGCCAGAATCCAAAGAAGAGCTTTGAATGTCCTTCAAGAGGCCTGGAGACGATTTGACAAGAAGACTTTCTTAGATTGTTCAGACTGTGTCAAAGACTAAATACCAAATACTTTGACTTTGAAGCTCACTGGAATTCCGTTTTTGCCTTAAATACTATATTTCCATGTATGTTTGCACGTTTCAGTGTGCAAATGTTTCACTGCACGCAGTTCCCATTTTCAATTTTCAAGTTAAAAAAGGAAGGCATGGCTCAAGACTTTTGCACAGTACTATATAACATTCCTTTATATTTCGATAACCCTTGATTAATTAAAAACAAAAAAAAAAAGCTGTTGTTTATTGTAGGAACAACAACAGAAGACAAATCATTTTGCAAAAAGTGTGTGTTGTGTTTGGGGTAGCCAGACTTTTCTGTGACCTACAAACTCTGTGGGGGCCAGGGCCACCCTTGGCCACCTCTTATCTCTGCTCCTGATCACTGGCACAAAGTGCTACAGACTTTAGATCTCAACAGACTAGGGCAAATTACAAAAAAAAGCAAATATTTGTGTTATATTAATCTGTATTATATTCAGATTTTAAATCTGAACATCTTCCTCTCCACTTCTTCATACTTGACCTGTTCACCGGTAAGGCAAAGCACGCAAGGAGCTAAATGTGCAAAAAAACAGCGGCATGGGCCTTTAGGCTCACGTCTTAAGCGCAGCACAATCAAGATCAAGACCCCTGCTGTACTGGAACAACACACAGACAGTGCATGCTTATAAATAAACAATGCTCCACTTACTTATTCACATTTCTCAAAATACTGCGTCCTAACTGCTACAATCCAGTGACGTACAGTTAAAACTGTGATGTGTCTAAAGAGTCTTGATACAAGATGACAAAAATATGCCAGCGTGCTTTCTGAGCATGTATACAGATTCAGGTCAGACTTTGAAAAGAGATGAAACACTGAAGCCATCTTAATAAGAGATGCTCTCCAGAGCTCGCTGGGAGACAGATGCTGTCAAAATAAAAGGAATTGGATATCACAGGTTTAATGATTTCACTGTCAGAATGAATGATGGCAGAGTAGGAAGATATGAGGGAAAAATAAAGGAGTTTGATGGTGTGAAAACTCTGTCTGACATGTTAGCAGCTTCATCTAGCCATCCTGCAATACAGCCATCATCACACTCTCACTTTGGGGGCTTGCATTTAGATCACTGAATGGACTGTGCATATCATATAATGGGGAATCAAAGACGTGTGCCATCTTGCGAAAAACCTCATCTGTCTAACAGTCTGACACATTTCAGTTCTCTTTTGGCCCCCGAGAGGCTCCAGAAGATGCTGAACATCCTTAACGGGTGTTGTGAGGCTTCGCTTACACAGCTTCTCCCAGCGTCTGAAGATATGCAGAAAGGCTAAGAGAGACTGACACAATTTCAAGGACTCGCTCGTACGGTTGAGCAAAAGCTCAGAGTGCCCTGTTTACTCCAGTGAATATGGGTATCCTTTGGCAAGTGCAAAGTTTGGATAAGCACAGCTTCCTGCCAGCAGCAGAGATTAAAGTTGTGTGTTCAGAAGTGGATGGCAGGGACTGGCTGGGTGGAAGTTTTCCCCACAGGCAGAGAACGTGGCAGCAAAGGTCAGAGGCCCGCCACATCACAGCCCTAAAAATATCCTCTGCATTTGATGCCCGTCACAGAGCGGTTATACAATCTGTGCCCTGACTTGAGCCTGCCAGAACTAAAACCTTACCATGTTCTGCCTTCAAGGGCTGCTTCACAACCAGCTGCCAGAATGATGAAAACCGAATTCCCGGGAAGAAAAACGAAGGACTTCAATCTCCGGGTGAGTGCTGCTGAAGATGCATGTGAAAAACAAAAAAAGCAAAAACTGTGCTTTTTTTATGACAGTAGTTTGAGGGGTGGAGGAATATAAGAAAAAATAAAGAAGCAAGTGTGGCATTTCTTTTTCTCCTTAAGCAAATAAATCATGTGTGAGAGGAAGCCACGGTAAGAAAATGGCTTCTCGCGAGTCGAAGACTGGCACAAAGATAAATGTTACTCGGGCAGCTGAAGAATCCAGTCCAGTGGATGATTATTCCACACCTGGGGGCTATGAGTTGGAGAAAATCCTCAACCGAGGGAGTGTGGCTTACACTCATGTCAACGAGGTTTGGCCTAATGTCTTTATTGGCGATGAGTAAGTAAGAAAAAGGTTTTATAAAAGCATAAAATGTCTAAACTGAATAAAAATAACAGGATTAAAATGATACTGACACTGGCTTCTTGTAGGGACACTGCAAAGGACAAGTACACACTGAAGAAGCTGGGAATTACGCACATCCTGAATGCAGCAGAGGGGACATGGAACAACGTGGACACTGGAGCTGGCTACTACAGTGACATGGACATTGTATACTATGGTGTAGTAGCAGAAGACGTCGCAACCTTTGACCTCAGCCAGTATTTTTTCTCCGCTGCCCAGTTTATTGAGAAGACACTGAGCAATCCTCAGAGTAAGACAGCTGCACAGGAAAAAACTAATATTTTGGCTGAAAATTGCCTAAAACATGCCGTGAATCTGTTCTCCGATTCGTCTGCAGATAAACTGCTGGTGCACTGCGTGATGGGAAGGAGTCGGTCCGCCACACTTTTCCTCGCCTATCTCATGATCTGTGAGAACATGACGGTGGTCGACGCCATAGAGCACGTAAAAAAACGCAGGCGTATCATCCCTAACTGGGGCTTTTTGAAGCAGCTGCGAGAGCTGGATCAGCACCTCTTGGAGAAAAGGGGGGAATCTGCAGGGGAAAGCTGATTGTGTGGCTGATCAGTCTGAGACTAAAGTCAGCGGAGACTAAGTCAAATCCCAGCCATTAAGACTTCGTCATGCTAGGAGTTACAGCCATGTGAAAAAAATAAAGTCCTATTAAAACTAAGTACAGCTTTACTGCTTCCATAGGAATAAAAGTAAAGTCAGGGGTAAGTAGCAACCAGGTGCTGCTAATCATCAGCAATTTGAGCACCTCTATAAAAACAGAAGTATGGGCGGTTTGTTGGTCTGGAGGCATTCAGCTGTGCGTTAACACAATGCCAAGGAGGAACGACATCAGCAACTGTTGCTGCCCATCAATCTCAGAACAGTTATGAGGCTTTTTTCCATGCAACCTAAGAGTCCATCATTGTACAGTGAGAAGTATTGTTCACAACATCTTCCTGGGAGCTGATGTCCTGGTAAATTCACAGACATGTCAGAGAAATTGCAAACAAAAACCTCGAAGAGCTAGATCTCAGACTCTGCAGGAATCCATTAGCATGTTAAATGTCAAAGGTCTTGACAGTTTAGTTAGAAAAAGACTAAAACTTTCTAAAAACACTGGAACAGACAAGAGCAAAGTGGGGATGTTTGGTCATAATGCACAGAAACATATTTGGAGAAAACCAAACACAGCATATCAGCACAAACACCTCATGTTAAATGTGAAGCACGGCGGTGGAGAGGTCATGATTTGGGCTGTTTCTGTAGCCACAGGACCGGGACACCTTGCAACCATTGATTCAACTATGTATGAACTGTGTATATCAAAATGTTCTCAAGTCAAATATGAGGCCATCAGGTCAGCCACTAAAGCTTGGCCCAAAACATATCATGCAATAGGGCAATGATCCAGAACACAGCAGCAAGTCTCCAAAAGAATGACTAAGAAGGAAAATAATTAAGGTGTTGCAATGTTCAAGTCAAAGTCCAGACCTCAACCTGATTGAAATGCTGTGATGGGAGTTTAAGACAGCTGCAAACCTCAGTGAACTGAAGAACAGTGGGCCAAAAGTCCCTCACAAAGATGTGAGCGACTGATAAAGTCAAATAGAGAATGATTACGTCACGTTATTGCTGCTGAAGGTGGTTGTACAAGCAAATGAATCATGCGGTGCACTTGAGTTTTTCACATGACTATATATCAGGGACAGTCTCAAACCAAACTGCAAATCATAGTGAGAAATCCAAGTTGGCTCTCAGATCACTGAATAAATGTCCTACTCGAGGATCAGGTCTATTAAAGCCCGACTCATAAGTATTTTGAGTGCAAATCAAGTTAAGCCTCAGCCTCGTCCTAGCAAATCTCCAGGAAAAAACACCTGCCTGGATTATCACAACCCTTCAAAATCTACCGCTGGGTTCTGCGACACGCATGTTTTGAAATTAAAAGGGGAACAGTGAAGTACATGGTCAATCATAATTTATTCTTATGCTAAAATGTACAGCATTTTAAGTGACTGACAAAAAGGAGAAAAGTCATAAATACAAGAATGTCATTCTGTCCGATTTGTGTGCACATAGCCAGGTATTTCCCCCCGTTCTTACCAGCAACTCTGTACAGGTAGAAAGATTACAAAAGAGCAATATAAACAAAAACACAAGTACAAGTTGCGTTTTACATGCAATCCATTAGCTTAGTTTGGTCTATTCACAGGATCTATTCTTCTACACTTCGGTAAAATATAAATCCAACATTTTATAAAGATAGAAAACAAATCTACAGATGGAATGAAAACGTAGCTTTAAAGGCATTATGTAAAATATCGACTTTGGACTAAATTTATATTTTCTTTACTGTTATTCATCATTATAATCATTTAGTTCTTTTTTTTTTAAAATTCTGCCACACTTCTGGACATTTCGAAATGTTTTAGAATTTTTCAGGGTAAAAACACTGAGATATGCTTTGTTACTTTGACAGAAATCAGTCTGCTTTATTAAACAGAAAGCTGCCTCAAGGAGATCTGTTACAAAAGACTTCAGAATTATACATACATAGCAATAAAACCTCTCAAACCAAACAGAAAACAAGACTAAGTTTACATATTTTTTTTTTTACATTATTAGAATTAACAAAATATAGTTTTTCATCTTTCTCCCCATAGAGGGAAACCTAGTAAAGGCCAGATATTTTTAAAATGGCTTGCTATTAAGCACAACACTTGTACAGTACTACTCAATGCACTGTCACTAACAGAGACTGAAGCATGCTAGTTGTCACTTTACAAAATAAGTACAATAATTTAAATATACAAAGGCATGAGTATAGTACAAACTAACTGTCAGCACTGTTAGACAGGTACACTGAACAGGTTCAAACAGCCACTATCTCCACCTGTAGCAGGCACGTTAAATGGCTTCATTTGAGGCTGCTACACAAGACCACTGATGAAATCTCTACCTGTGAGCTCTGAACCCGCCTGGTCTAAAGACACATCAGAGACACTAACACTAATTAAATAGATTTTCATCATAATGATGTAAGGCTTCCCATCTGGAGGAACAAAAAATACTTTTCAAACATTAACTTCAAAGTTTACTCACTGATGAAATTTTTTGCATTCTTTCCAAGTGCTGCTGCTTCTGCTGGTTTTTCTAATAAGTCATTAACAATAACAACAAGAAGAAAAAAAAAAAAAAGGAAAAGGAAAAATGAAGACATACACACACACACACACACACACACACACACACACAAAAAGAAATAAAGAAAAAAGGGAAAAGGCCAAATCAGTGCATCTTTTAACAGCAAAATGCACACGAGGAGAAGCAGCTCAGTCCTGCGGACAGTTACCGCCTGATGAAAGGCCCTTTCAGGGACTGCTTGGATATGCCTGTGTCCATGTAGCCATGGTGCCCAGCTGGAGTGTACACCATGTTGCCATGTGGTGGAGCCTGCATGGGCTGCTGGGGGTATGGCTGTGTTCCCATCATGCCCATCTGCATAGAGTACTGGGGTGACTGGTTCATATAGGCATGGTTGCCATGGTAGCCACTGTTCATCATGGGCTGGCTCATGCTGTAGCCGTTCATGGCGTTGAGGGAGGGCATGTTCATGGAGTTGACGTTGTAGGCTGGTGCCGGCATGATGTTCATGCTCATGTTCATGCGTGGCATGGCGGTCAGCGTCCTGGATGGCGCCTGCATGGCGACAGCCTGTGGCGGCCGGGGGTACATCTGCTGCTGGTGGTGCGACAGCGAGGCCGACTTGGAGCGTGCAGAGATGTGATTTTTGGAGGCCATCTGAGGCTGGATCCGCTGCGAGTGCGGGATGCCCATGTTGCGCTGTAGCATCATGGGTGGCGGTGAGCTGAGATTCGGGGACGGGGTCACGGTGGCCTGCACCTGTGGGTTGGGGACTCGATGTGGCGTCTGGGACAAGGATACCAGGCTAGAGTGCTGTGATGATAATGAGGGGGTGTTGGCGTATGATGTGATGGGGTGTGAGGCCGAGTGGTTGAAAGGCAGCGAGTGAGGGTGCTCTATGAATGTGTTGGTAAATTGTTGCAATTTGGCGAGACTAAGGCCAGAGGACTGAGAATAGTGCCCGCTGCCATACTCCCCCTGGTGGTTGATCCTCTCATAGAGGGTAAAGTTTGGGTTGCCAGATTCAGGGATGTCTGCCAGCTGCATGGTGGTGGCGAAATTGGTGGGTATGGCGCACTGAGTCATAGACTGCTGCTGGCTGTGCTGACCGTGCTGATTGTGAAGGCTATGCTGAGCATGCGGATTGTGCTGGCTGAGCTGATTGTGCTGCAGGTGATGATTGTGGTGGTGGCTATGCTGGTTGTGGGGATTGTGTTGAGTGTGCTGGGTAAGCTGATTGTGTGGACCGTGCTGATTGTGTTGGGTGTGCTGATTGTGTGGGCCGTGCCTGCTGTGGGAGGTGTGTTGATTGTGTTGGCTGCGCTGGCTGTGTTGACTGTGCTGGTTGTGCTGGCTGTTGCTCGGAGGCCTCTCAACCACGACGCAGCCCTGCGGTGACTTGACGTTGCAGTGCGGCGGTGAGCTCAGGCTGTTCTGCTGGATCATCCCGCAGCTGCCGGGTTAACGGCAGCCATTGTTGGCTCACGGCGCAGCTGCTCTGGGCAGGCCGCTAGGGGGGATGCTGCCGTATGAGCAGCTGTTCTGGCCCATGGTGGAGTCGTAGCTGCTGGGGTTCTCGTAGTTCTCTGTCGTACTCTCAATGCTGCCCAGATCGCTGAAGCCACTGTCCACCACCTGCTGCGAGTGATCCGACACCGACGGTACATCCATCATGGGACTTGTCTCCATATTATGGAGCGACGGCACTGAGATGGCACTGTGGTCAGGGCTGATCTGCGTGTAGCCACTGTCCAGGATGGAGACAGCTGGGCTGTTAACTGAGCGTACTGATTGGCTGGGATGGGAGTGCGCAGAGGAAAGGGGGCTGCTGTGATCTGACTGAGGACAGTCGTCCAGCGAGGTGATCTGGGGGCTCTGGCTCACATGGGCATACGTTTGCAGGTTCCTGCAGGGCTCCTGGCTCTCCACGCAGTCCTGGAAAACATTCTCCCGCTCGGTCTCCTGCGTCAGGGACTGAACAGCTTGGGCTGTCTCTGAGTCAATCTCTGTGCAGACTGGGGGATCCTCCCTCAGCATGGGATTGAGTATTGGCCTCTCTGCAGGCGGAAGAGGCAGGTGGTGTTCTGGACAAGGACTATGCAAACTCTCTTCCTCTGACTCAGAGTCTGCAGGATTATCAGAGTCTACAGCTGCTTTTGAAGTGACTGCTGCTGCTTCAGGTGCCGGTGTTGCTTCTGATGGTTCTGCCGGCGCACTATCCTGGATGCTTTCTGTAGCAGTAGCTGGTTCCGCTTCACTACAGAGTACTGTAGAAACCTGCTGACTCAACTCAGAGTCATTGTCTTCTTTTGCATCTAAAAAAGTTGGCATGCATTTGGGTAAGTCTTTTGAACTCTCTTCCAGGTCTTCTGTATTATTCTCTGGCCCTGCTGTCTTGCTGTGGCGGTCATCTTCATCATCTGCATCCTGATCCTCTATTTGGGCTCTTTGCTCGCCCTCCTCATTTTCCTCATTCTCATTCTCTAGCGATACAGCACCCTCTGTGCTGTGCACTACATCTTTGGCTGGGGATTTCTGCTCATGTTGGACCTCCTGCTGGTCATCTTCAGGTGGTTCTGGTGAATCAGCTGCATCAACTTGCCTTGGGGACACTGCGCCAGGAGAGGCAGCTGGGGAGCACACCAGAGAAGCTACCGGTGATGCTTCTGGAGAGCTCGACTTGTGGGAGCCATGGTCAGCAGGACTTGGGGGCTCAGAGGGGAACCTGTCCAGCATTATATTGGGACTTGCCGAGCCTCTGCCTGCCTTGCTGCCCTCATCGACATGGACGCCATCCTGGTGCGGCCCATCCTTTGCTTCCTCAGTATGAATGTGGTGCTGCTCTGCCTCCATTGGAGTTTCAGGGGGTGTGTAGAGGTTCAGCTTAAAGCCCATCTTTCTTTCGTTCTTTAGCTTCCATTTAGGAGGTCCACGTTTCACTCCTTTGGGCCAGCCTTTCTTCCGTTTCACTGGACGGGGTTTGCTGGGTCTCTTAGAGAGAAGATCAGCTCCTACAGATCAAAACAATGCAACACTTTACTGGTTTGCCATGACATAGGCATAGAAGTGTAGAGAAATAACATAAGAAATATAAAGTTTAGTTGTTTTTTGGTTTTTTGTAAACAGCAGTCATAGCTCAAGTACCTTCATTCCAGTGTTCGAGATTGTCTTTTTGCACATTTTTCTCCAGCCTTGGGCGACCTCTTCGTCGTTTTATCGGTGCAGCTGGTGTCTTGTCCTTGTGTGCCTCCTCCTCATCTTCTTCATCCATCTCACCGACTCTAAAAGTGCGCTCCAGAAGGGGCATGGGACGCTCATCCTCCGAGTTGTCGAATGGCTCGTTCAGCACCTCTGTCGTCTCTGAGATGGTTTCTGTCGTTACGCTGCTGTTTATCCGCTTTCTTTTACGCCCTCTCTTCTTCAGAACCAGGGTTCTCTGAAATACAAACATGAGAAGAACCAATGAAAACAAACCTCAATCAAAGCAGATTGGTTTTTGTTAATGCTGGAAAGTGGGGCAGTAGTGGATGACCTCCATGATGGTACAGCTTTTAAACCCATACAGGATTCTGTGCTAAATGCAAAATGTTAAAACCACAGCTCAAGACTAAATGTTTGAGCAATGCAGGCTGGTGTGGAAACCCACAAATGAGAAAGGCAGAGTAAGCAGAAACCACAGTCTATATTTTACATTCTCCAGTTGTTTCCCACCGACTGCCTCAGACTGTAACCGCTCTTCCCTCCGAAATCCTTCATAAGAAAAATGCGAAATGAATACAGTAACTAATGCACCAAATAAACCCCATCAACCACTGTCATTCTTTTCTGGTTTCCATAGTGTTTTAGTTGAAAAGGTCTCCCCTGACATCATGCAGCCAGTTGTAATATTATCTCCAGCACAAGGGGGCAGTGCCATATAGACGGAACAGATGTGAGGAGCACAGTGGAGGGCAGTAAATTAACCATGACCACTGACAATAGTACAAGGTTTAGCCTGCACAGTCTCGACACCAGCAGTGAAAACACAATCTATTATCTACAGCTGCAGGCACACAGGGAGGCTCGAGATGACAGGAGGAAGCCACTGAACCCTACACTGAATTCATGAATATTTATCAAACCTTTCCATCTCAACCACAACATGCTCTTTAATGAAGGAAAACATCTAGACATACACTCAATCCCACTTTGTCCTAGAAGCAAACTCCACAGTGGCACACACAAACACTGACAGTCACCTTTCTCTTGGCTGCAAGCATTGCATGGGCTTTTGTCAAGATGGGTGGTGAGCCATCTGAGTCGTCGTCATCGTCGTCAGCTTCCTCATCGCTCACTTCCTCAGTCAGCTGGATGCGCCTGGTCCAGGGCGGTGCGGGCCTTCGTTCGTAGGTCCTGTAGGGAACCTTACAGTGGACCTTCGTGAGAGGTTGCCTACTACTGTGAGTCATCATGTAGCCCTCTCTCTCCTCCTTCTCCCAGCAACTGGCCTGCTCCTTCAGCCGCTCAGCCTGGTAATTAAAAAGACAAGATGCATTATCTCTGGGAAAGGCGCACGCACGGATCCAACATCTGAGCAACGACGCTAATGGGAAAGCAAGAGATTGGAATTAACATCATGACAAATGAATCACTGCAGGTTTCTCCTGATAATAAGAGCAGCGTCATGATTGGATGTCTGCCCGTCATGAAGGAAACGTTCCTGTTAAGCGACCGTGGAAAGATTGCATTTCATGGAATATTCAGTACTATCAATTATGCAGTGAACTGATTTAGAGCAATTTTGCACAACATTAGATGCCTGCTGACAGTGAGAATGCCTTTCCCATTAATGGCCTCTATTTGAACTCCCAAGCTAATCAAACAAACATTTACTAACAGCATTGCAGGCAAGCAGAAACAAATAACTAGTGTTTCTTGAACAAAGGAACCTACATCCATCTCTGCTTCCCTCTCCTCCTCAGACAGGACAGCGTTCAGAGTGGTGGAAGGTGTCCAACGCAGGGCGTCTGGATCCACCTCGATCTGACGTGGGTTCGCCCTGAGCTTCTCCATGTGTCGCTGAATCAGTCGTTCCCTTCTGATCAGCACGATCCTATTTCGCGAAGAGGAAAGCACATTACTCTACATCCATAACAAAAGGTAACAGAGGGTGAAGTGTGGTTAAATACGAGCGTTAAAGTAGCGCTCATTGGGGCAGCAGGTGCTTCGTGTCCTTGGGGGTGCTTAACCTGACTTACTTCTGTCAATATTCGGCGGCATTAATGGATATGCTGTTAAAAATACCCGCTGGCCTGGATAAGTCAGACAGCAGAAGCAGCAGCGGCAGCGCAAGTTGAAGGAGACTGTGGCTCTGAAACTGACCTGCCATCCTGTCTGTCAATCATGCCAAGCTGCTGGAGAGTAGCGGCGATGTCATGTGGACACATCCCAGTGGCCCTGCTTATTCCTTTAACACTGATGTGTTTATCTGGGTGCTTATAAAGGTGCTCCAGTATGACACTTTTCCAATATGCCAGGTAGGATAAGCGACCCAGATCTGACAGCGGCTTCTCTGGGGATCCAGCTTGTCCTTCTTGCCTGGTGAGAAGGTAACCTAAAAAGACACGATTCAAACAAAAACAAAATGCTTTAGTCGAGCTGCAGGCAGCGGCTGGGTTATTTCGGATTGTAATCCAATCCCTGCGCCTCCCCCCTTCCCTCTGTATTCATGTAAAGATGTGACGCCAAACCCTAGTTGGGATTCACCTTCAAATAGTGCAAAAGGGAGAGAAGCTTTCCACTCCTTCAACCTCCGTCAGAAGGTATGACACATGCCAGCAAGGGCAACAAAGGAGGTTGAAAGAGGAAACAAAGCGACAGAGCGAAACAGAGAAGCAGCTGGATGTCATTGCTCACAGGAGACTGCACTTAGGAGAGATAACGCACAAGGAAAAAATACTAATATGGATCTGTGTGTAATTAGTTTTATAGCAGCCCTGTCAAGGGTCATCCATTATGAGCGGCATGAAATTAATTAATGCCTTTTAATGTGCACCCACTACTGAGAACCAAACAAGCTAACCTAATCACAAAACAGGGAACACATAATATTCCAGTAATCATGACAATATTCATTACTAAAGCTAAGAACAGCAGCTTGTGATAAATACACTTAGAGATGAATATTCCAATAAGTTAATTGAAAAAGTCGTTTTTCATTTTGTGTCATTTCACAAGTATATTATCATTAATAAAGCAAAACAAAAGCGCTACTCTGAGACCTGTGAAGTATGATTTGAAAGAGAACGCTTTACACACACTAATGCTCTGCTGTGAGAGCTACCTGAGACAAAGTGTTCCTCTAATACAATCCAATATAACAGAAAATCTTAATCTAAACAACTTCCAGCTCCAAAGCTACATTTTCCAATAAAGCCTTCAAAGAGCTCAGAACTCAGCTGTGTTCAATCTCCCTTAATCCCTGTCTTTGTTATCAGCACACTCTCAATATCACAGATCCTCTCGCATCTCTGTCTCAATGGTTCCCAAAGTGAACAGGAAATCAAATGCTCCATTACCGCCTGCCCACCCCTGCACTCGCTCCTTTTTTTCCTTGTCTTCCACGGTCGGCACGGAGACAACCCTTGAAAAATAATAAAATGCCTATAATGACAAAAAAATGCCTGCCTAAACACAAAAATCCACTCAAGGCAGCAACTGTTTTCATAAGTGGACTGTGGGCTTTAAATATTGTATGTGTTGCATTTACTAGACTTAAAACAAAAAACCAGCATCCACGGCTCATCAGAAGTCAAGGAGAGAGAATTTGGTGTGTGTGTGTGTGTGTCTGTGTGGGGGGGGGGGCTCTTCAGGCAATGCTTAGGTGAAAACTACTGGCCATCAAATTAATACTGCAGCCAGAATGTTATGTTTCCCACTCCTAATCTTCTGTGATTGCCTAAGCACTGTACATGAATGCTCTTGATTAGACACCCTTGAAAAGCCTTAACAAAATAACAGCACCTTGCCATAAGCTACAAAACTCTGCCTTTAATCTGAAACTGTTTGTAAAGACCAATAATAAAAACCAAGTGTGGTGGTCTAAAAAGGCATTAAGGAACTTACTGAAATCAATAAGGAACCTTCCAAATCCTTGCCTTTGGTACTGAGGCATGATCATTATGCAGGAGACATTGTACTTCTGCTGGCAAAGCTTTTCCTGGGGGAAGGAGAAACAGATCAAGTATGTCAGAGCTCTGCTGAAGCTGGCAATTTACTGCACCTGCCATTGTCCTTGTCTAAAGCTGTGCACATGCACATGCACATCAAATACACAAACCGAGATGTTTCACTAAAAAGTATCGCCGTGTGAGAATTACGGCTGCAACTGACATTTGAATTTTTATAACATTAGATATTCCAAGATGATCAATTTACGGTCATCTAAAACTGAGAAAGCAGAAAATTTCCCCACATTTGAACCACTGTGAGGAAGTTAAATCCACATCACTAAATAGACAAACTACTGTGAGGTCTCAGTATCAGCATTCACAAATGATGTGCGGTATTCCTTCATTTCCCATAAAATCACTCCGTAATTCTTACCTTGGAGAAATAGCCCACAAGATGACAGCCTTTCTCATCATTCTTTGTAAGTATGTAGAAGAGGAAAGGCTCCACATCATAATACAAGGTCTTGTGATCCAGGAAAAGCTTGGCTAACAGGCAGAGGTTTTGGCAGAATAGTTTGCTGACATTTCCATCAACCTAAACACAGAATAAAAAGAGCAAGAGGACACTGTTCAAACAGTTCCCATTCCCCCACCCTCCCAGAGCCCATTCAGTGGGATCTCATGCAGCATACAGTTATTGCTTTATTGCTGTAAAGGGAAGCTGACCTCAAATACAGAGAGGTTGTCCTTTCTGTAGATTTCATTGGCTGGCGGGTGGAACCAGCCACACTTCTTTGTGTGTCTCTGGAGGATGTTTTTGCTTCTCATGTACTTCAGACAGAACTCGCATATATAAAGCTTTTGTAATCTGGTGAAGACAAAAACGAGAGCTGAGGTTTGTACTTCAGCATGACAGGCTTTATAACAGGACACTGAAATAAACTCGGCACCAGCAACAAAAGAAATTGGCATTATCTGGTGCAAAAAATATTACTTACCTTGAATATTCAGGTGGGTAAGGTGATGAGTACCAGGTCTGGATCTCATACTTCCCAAATTCAATGACAGCGGGGCATCGAACGGAGTCTGTGTTCATCAGTGATGAACGAGATCCGGTTCTCTGTAAAAAGATTTAACAAAGACACACTGATAAATATAGTGACCCAGATAATTCAGCATTACAGTTCCTCGTGTCAAGAACTCTGTCGAGACGAGATTGTGGTTCATGGTTCTCGTGAGAAATGAAAGATACATCTGCCCAAAATCAGTCGCACAAATAAGATAAGCTTTACCATGCTGACACCCCAGTTACCGATTGAGCCAGTGGTTTCCGTTTCTTTTTTTTTCTTTCAAATGACTATTTTTACTCAGCATTTCTGCATATTCTCTGATGTCTATATGGTTTTCTGAGTCTATAAACAAACTATGTTATATTTGAGCCCTTGATCTTTTTAACCAAAGTTAGAACCTTTTAAATTCGTAAGTATTAGTGAAATAAGCTTTTTTGCTTATTAAGACCCATGCATTCCAGACGTATAGTATATCTATCTGTTTAAATTAAGAGTGAAACTCCAGAGTCATGCTTCAGGGTCTTAGAAAAACAAAATGTTCTGTGGAAAGACAAACAGTTTGACTGAGGCCAAATTGTACCCTCAGTCAAAGATAAACAGTCTGAAGAAGGCGGAGAATTTAACCTATACGAATGTTTTGTTAGCCTGCTCAGTTATGCCCTGCTGCACGGGCCTACAGACCGGACAGTGGTGTTTTACTGTTACAGCCAACACATTTCAAAAGGTGCAGTTTTTAGGGTGAACGTTCTCCAGTTAGCATTGCACAAGTTTCCTTACAGCTCGGAAAGTGAAGGGTAGACAAGTCACTTTCTTCCATGCAAACTATGGGCAACCTGCTAGCAACCAAAACATGCAAGGAGCCTTTGGTGCAGCACCCTCTTTGCAACCGATTTCATATGGACACTGCCAGCAACCTTAATTAATAACTCCCAAACCGGTCAGGAAATACACTTTTCCGGAGGGTCTCTAGGCTTGTATGTCTGAAGTGTTAGTCTAAAAATGCTGACAAATGTTCACCTCCAAGAAGTGCAAAATGACACAAAAAAGTCAAAAAGAAGACTTTCTTTTACATGGGTTATTGTTTCATGTATTCTTAGCTTGTATTTAGCTTTTTTATTGGCAAGAGTTTACCAATTAGGCAATGAACACAATTGGATTAGAAGTTGGCTCCTTTTATATTACAATATACTCAAGAGAGCTGAATAAAACTGACATGACATATTATCACTGAAAGACCTTCTTTGTGTATATAATCCCACTTTGGTTCTCCTTTCAGTTTTCTTGCAAGCACGTAAAATGAGCAAAAGATTTATAGCGTTTTCCTACCTGAGCAGCGAGTTCCTGGATTCGTGTGAAGGTCTCGATGTCCTCCTCTGTGACGTGGTCTCTGGACATGGCCGCAAAGTCTGCCTGGGTCTCCTGCTTCACGTGCAGCTCCCCGTTGTGGCCTGTTAGAGGAACAATAGCACGACATCAACACATCAGGCGGCACATCAACAGCGCCCCGTTTGAAGCAGCCGTGGAATAATCTCATAAATGCATTCTATGCAAATGTGCTTATACTGTGAGCACTGCTGCTGAGCCTGTCTGAGGCTGTGTCTCAGAGGAATTTCATAATGTATCATCTTTGCATGTTTATATGAAAATCCCTAATGTAATGAAGTGAAACTAAATCACTCTAATTGCGTAACCGCTTTCATGTGCTTAGTCATCCACCAAGACAGTTTCCCATGAATTAAGAAGCAGATGCAGTGAAGGGAGCGAGTGTCGACATGAAAAGCAACTGATGCTGGAAAGCAGGCAGTAATTTTATGAAAGACAGCAACACCATGACTTAACCACCAAAACAAAAACCCATTACAAGTGGAAGTGATGCATCATTAACATATTTATGGAAATGTGCTGGAGGAGTAACGAGTGTTTGTGCGGGATATTGTTTAGAACTTCTTGAAACATACATCCGTTTGGTTTTTTTCCCCCTACATGTCTTTCTTTTTTTTTTTAAGCTGTGACTTCACTCCTGAAGACAGTGAAATGTAAGGGTTACTGCACTTAGGCCATAATCATCATGTCAGCTCTGAGTCAGCTTGGGTGGGTGAATCACTGGTTCGTAATGACCGCTGGAAGTGAGGTTGAGAGGAGACAGTGATTTCAAGAGTGAGGGTGGGATGAGGAAGAGGGCGATGGGACTACAGTCTCTACTAGGTAGTGATCACAATGGGCGCACTACTGCAGACGGTCGAAGACAGAGCAAGGAGCAACATGAGGGAGTTAGTGGGCCATGCACTATGACAAAAGCCAACGGGCGAGAGGATGGAAGCCACGTATACTCCGCAGTCAAGTCAAAACGCAACGAAATTGTGTTAATAAACTAAAAGAATTTAAATTAGGAGGAAGATTAGTAGTCTGTTAGAGTGCTGAGGGTGCCTTCTCAAAGAAAAGATAAGCTCTAGTCTGGAAAAAAATAACTGCGAGTGTCAAGCTTTTAAAAAATGAAAGTAAAAAATAAAGAAGAAGCTTAGAGGTGTGGAGACGCAGGTCTTGGTTGGAATTTCGAGCCTTGCTTACCATGATTATTCTCAGGCTTAATTCTTCCGTCAGTCAAGTCTCCCTTTCCTGGTGAGAGGGCTCCCTTCTGAGGGCTCCCTTTATACCTCAGCCTGCCTAGTGTCCTGCGCTTTTTAAAGAAAGGGTTACGTTTGAAATGACTGACCATCTTAAACGGGTGTCCTCTGGGTCGGCCTGGCCCAGCAGTTGTGGAGTCTAACCTATTTTTATTAAACTCGCTCTTTCCAAGGCGCTGGGGCCCCGTTTTGGACGTATGGGGGGAGTACTGCTTATGGGGCAGGGGCTTAGGTGGCGCATAGGAAGGTAGTCGCTTTTTCCGTGACTGTCCCTGAGTAGTAAAAATGTGAGAGAGTCCGTCAAAAAGTCCCTTAAGTTGGCTGCTATTGCAGAGACTACTCAGGGAAGGAACACTAGACTGGCTGGAAGAGCTCTGGGGAGAGTTAGCAGAAGTGGAGCTGCTGGACACCTGCGAGGGGGGGCTAAGTCCGGGCAATGTGGAAGCAGGAGGAAGTGCAGAGGATGAGGGGGTTATCTTTTGAGAGGCATCAGCAGCAAAGGCAAACAGCTCTGGTGGCTTGGACAGTTTGGGTGGACCCTTTTCTCTAGAGCTTAACTGTTTGGCGGGCGACTCTATGGCTACAGCTCGCATGTGACGGCCCACGGGGGAAGGAGTAAAGAATTTCGAAAGCCCATCGATAAGCCCTTTAATTTTCTTGTTAACAGTGAGTGTAGCTGGGGTGGAGGTGGGCGTGAGGAGGGGAGTGGTGGAGGGAGTGGAAGTGGTGAATTGGGTGGCGTCGACCGCACAACAAGGGTCTGCAACAGCAAATCTGTCTCGGGCGTCCTTCACAGATGCAGCATGACCAGATGAAGGTGTGGAACAGACGGTAATCTTTTGACCCCTACCAGGTGACCCCCTTCCTCCCAGTGCTACCATGGAGCCGTCACCACTGGTTACAGACCTGCCGGGACAAGAACAGCAAAGTAAATGTAGATCTCACTGCTGACACATGAATGTAACCAAAAACATCAACTCAGACGTGTAATTATGTCATTAACGTTTTGAGGCACAAATCATTCTCAGAAATGTAATGTCGTTAACAGTAATATTTATACAAAGCCTAAAGTCTTGCTTCATATTTCCTGTTCAGAGTTATCTGCGAGATTCTTAGTTAGACACAATAATTTTTGTTTTCTCTACCCTGACACCAGGAGCTCATATTCCCAGGCACAGGATGAATAAAATGCTCACAGCATGATGTAAGTTGTGGACATCTATTCATTTTCACACATAAAAATGTCTGTTTATATAATTATAACCTGTATAACCATCTATATAATTTAACTGTTACTGTTGTTGCTGTAACATACAGCAGAAATGCCCCCACGCGGCATCAATAAAGGGCATTCAAACTATTATTAGCACTGCTACTGACTGAAAATAGCATTTAAATAGAAATATTGTAATGATAGAGGGGCTGCACAAATCATCTTACATTCACTTTTTTAAACATTTTTATATCAAGATATATTTTCAAATCAAGATATAAAATACATCTGCACATCTTGCCTGAATACACAAGAGAGTGAAAATACTAAACCTTCTGTAGTTTTAAGGGGCTTGCTACAGCCCAGAGCGAACACACCGTCCAGCTATAGACTGTTTAAAAAGATGGAAGTAGCCACACACATGTCAGCCATCACTGTGAGCAGACGCTCATAGGGGAAGTGAGCCATCAGTTCTAAGGTAGCCCTACCTTAAAGCATACTCAGGTTTGTTCTCCTTTTTGACACTAATCACGAGCATTATTTACAAAAATAACTTCAACTATGTTGTACTTAGTATGACAGAAACCACAAATTCATTAGGAAAGTGGTTCCAGAGGTCACAGAACAAGGGTGCATAAAGGTCATTTTTGAGTAGATGAGTCTCCTCCCGCTGGCTATTAGAAAAACAAGACTTGGTAGCAACGACCATCTTTTATAAAGGCTATATATATATATATATATATATAAAGTCTACGGATCTCCTTTATCCAATAACAACACTTAAGTGCTGTTTACACGTGAATTTACCAATATTAATTCTATGTAATGCATAGAAGTGATCTGTATTTGTTTTCCATTTTTGGGTGTTCTTATTCTCTGTGGAGGCTAAATGTATTATAGCTTATGTTTAAATTTATAGTTAATCAGGTCAGGAACTTAAACCAGAGTCAAGCTATAAACTGTAATGCATGCATGTTTGCAAAGGACCATGGATCGTTTACTATAAAAATGGCAATTTGACTTCTCTACAGAAATGTTGCCATGTATTGAGATCTTACCAACAGATGCACTATTATTACACCAAACAATTAACCTTGAGTATAATGTAACTGCTGTTAGTTAGATTACAGCACACTTACATTCTTTGTTTGAGCTTATTTCTGGGCCTTCCGATTGGCTTTGCATATCGACGTTTGATCTGATCGGCTTTCTTGTGCAGCAGTTTCTTCCCGTTCTCCTTCGGCCTGCAGACTTGGCAGATCCAGGTTCCTGGAGGGTGTCCAAACAGAGAGAGTACCGTTTGGGTGGGTTCATCAATTCAGAGGACATACAGTACATTCATTTGAAACAATTCCTTTAATAGGAAGAGCTGGCGAGATTCCCACCAGCTCACAATGACAATCAATTACTCAGCACAAAGCGAAAATCCATAAGAAAAACATTGGGTCAGTTCTCCGTTTGGAAAAATAGACTTTGCGTCAGCTTGTTGAGCTCAGCTATGTGACTCGTATGAATTGCCTGCCAAATATCCTACTACAGTACGTGCACCATCATTACAAGCCTCAATGTAGGGTCAGTACTGTAATCCAGAGATAGCAAATCTCCCCAGGGAAGCTGGAATAATTTGATATGCATGCAAAGCTCCTAATAAGCCACCGCTGCTTCTCTGTGTGCTGAGTGACAGCCCCAAACGGCCTTCTGTGAAGAAAAGGCTTTGAATTGACAGCAGAGGGGGGAAAACAGAGAAGCCAGACAGTATAAACACCTCACCTTTTGGCATTCTTGAAAGCGGCGGATCGCAGCATTCCATGTGAAAGCCCCGATCACATGAATCGCAGAACAGCATCTCATCCTGAAAGGGAACAGCAGGCATGTGTAAAGGATGTCCCAGTTGCATACATGTAACACCCCCGTCATTTAAAGTCTTTCTTTTTTTGAAAAATAAGCCCAATTGTGCACAAGAGAGGCTTTACAAATCTCAACAAATCCTCAGGGATGCACAAAATGGGATCTACCTTCAAGCCAACAACACTGAAAATGGTGTGTGTTAAGATGCATGTGTAATACTCACAGCGTTTTTCCCCTGTATTCGACAGGAGCTGCAGGTTTTGCATTCAATACACTGCCACCGTAATCTCTTCACATTTGAGGTTAATTCAGTGGAAAACTTCAGACATGATGGATGTCCTTTAGGAGCAATAAAAAATGCATATTAGCACAGGACATTTTACCACCGCTGGCGCTGTCACCGAGCCAGAGACAAGGTTTTTCATTTGTCAACACAGTCAGGTTAAACATTAACATATTACATCACTAAAAAACAATGCTGGGCCTGTGCCTGTATGTCCACAACACTTTTCCTCCTGGCACAAGTTGTGTCTAAAAACAGTATGATCAAACATCTGAGCCACTAATTACAGATAATTTGATCTTAATGAGGCAGAAACAGTAGCAGCACTCATTCTAATGGAAGCTGATCCATGAAAGTCATGTAAAAGCTTGCCTCTTCTCTCACCCGGCTCCCTCTCATGGTTGTAAAACAGCTGTTTTACAGTGAGAGCACAATTTGTGTACACTACGAGTGGTTAATGAAAACCACCTCGACGCTACTTAGTCAAATTTGAGCTATAAAAATGTCACCAGGAGAACAATTCCTTACGGCATTTAAAATAATTGTTCAAACATAAATGACTCCTAGGCAGAGGTAATTTTATGGGGGGTTAGCAGTTTTGTCTGGAACAAAAGAACACTAAAGGAAATGCCAACAATCTGCAGCGGGGAAAGGTTGATCTTTGATCTGCTATAACTGGAGTGGCTCTATAAAATAATTTGAAGTGAGCGAAAATGACTTGGGTGATTTCAGATTGTAATGGTCACTTGGAGCATCTGCCCTTCTGAGGCTTGCAAGTAATTTGGATCCCTCCAGCCACTCAATTTGCAGATTGTTCTTCCAATAAATCCCTTAAAGGGACGAGAAAAATATGGTGAAAGAATATGAAATCTGCCTAACCGATGCAGAAAACTGCTACCGCCAAGGTTGGATGACTTGAATATATACTGAACACTGTGAGATGACAGAAATTTGTTGGCATTTCTTTAATACTGCTGATGTAATTAGTTTATATCAGGCAATGTGTCTGCTTAATGCCCCACTCTACCCCCGAATAATCTATTTATGTCTATATATTCACACTCTTGGAGCGTGACTTCTACCCATTAGGTTTTGACTGCTCAACAGTTGTTCTGTGTATCAGGTACAACATGGTAGGAGGGTTAGCCCTTTAAAGCTGAGTACACAGTGTGTGTGTGTCTTTTTTTATTGATCTTGTACAATGTGTTAACTTGCTTTACACATTTTAATTGGCCTTCCTCCACGGCCAGAACCTGCTCGCACGCTATGGGTCAATCAACCTGCCACAATGTAAAAGCTCACTGTGAGCGCAAACACCCAGGTAATAAAGTTTATTCAAATAGGATTGGCTGTGTATTCAGTGTTGACAAGAAAGAAGGAGAAAGAGTCACTCACACACACAGACAGAAAGTGGTAATTCTGCACTATTCTGCAGCCAAAACTGACACCGCTGCCTTTAAATGGTAAATTTAGGTCAAGTAGGATTTATTATACTTGAGAAATAAACAAGTTAATGTATCACAAAGGAGCGTTACTGAAAAGAAGATGTTTATGTTTTTGTTGGGATACTGATAATATGCCAAAATAATGCAAGAACATGTTTTTGAAAACATCGAGCACTACTGAGTCGTGATACGAAAACACAGGCACATACTAAACTGTGAATTTTAACACCATTAAATGTGCAAAATGTTTGACTGATGATAGAAATCTAGCTTAGTTTGCACAACATTTCAAACACAACATTTCATACATATAGCATAAATATGACATCATGTTATACGCCAGTGCAGAGATTTTAACCACATTTCTGACCTATGTCCACATATACGCTGACACTGTTGCTTCTGAGCTAACATACCAGCAGTTTAGTCTTGTTTACAGTATGTTATGGCTCGTGGGAACATGCAGTAAAGTGAAGCGTTACACAAGGTGACTTACCACTGCTCCCACAGTCTGCACAGGACAGCAGCTCTTCTGGCCGCTTGTCCCGATTTGACTCTTTCGTTCCGAGACAGAAACTGCATATTGGGATGGGGTCGACCCGGAGCTGGTGTGGGAACACAAGCAAAGACAAACTGATTAAGGGACAGAATGACAGACTGTGTGTGCAGCGCTGAAATCTTTGATCCAGATTTTGAGATAACTATTCATGTATTGCTGGTTAACATGAAAAGTGCGGATTCAATGAAACTCCCATGAAAATATCAGCGGGAAGAAGCAGCTTAGAGAATGGGAAAAAAATAAAAGAGTGGAGTTCTCACAGACTAGAAATGAATAATAAATGAATCTTATCCTCAGAGATATGCTGCATCTGAGATCCACCTCTTTTATCCATTACATCTGAATGGGTAAGTGATCTTAGTAATCATAGTTTAAGGGCTTAATCCAATTCTTAAAGCTTGCACTCCAGTCTGAAAGGATTAACCAGCATGTAATCAAATTACCTCAATAATAAAACATGCTCTCATTGTTACTGCCATGATCCACAGTAAATGTTGCAAGTCTCAGAACAAACGCTCATTTAAGGGCTTACGGTTAAGTTCAGAAGAAGTAAAATATGAGCTCAAGGTTTAAGAGGATTTCCCCATTGATCACTCAGAATGAAGAGAGGCCGACTTCAGAGAGAGCGCGAGAGCTGGGAAGACTTTGTGTCATTACTTCATACAAAGCCAGTCAAAGTCTAATGAATCTTAGGCTGAAATCAAGACCAGACTTAACTGAGATGGCTGCAGTATGGCTTTCACAAGTCTCCCTTTAAATGTGAGATCATACATAAAAGCCTCTTACAGAAGCAACAAACAAACTGCGGTTTCCTTCTCAGCTCGAGAGGAAGTTCTTAACGGAAAATAACACTCGCAGGGTGTGACCGTAAATAACCCACCTCATCATCAGTTTACACACTAAGGCCTCACCAATTGACTGGAGCCTTGGAGGGCCCTCTAGGGATGGCCATAATTAGTTCCTGGTTTCTATGACACAGATCATCATCCTGACCATAACCCAATTTGCATCTTTCAAATTTCTGCTGGCACTGACCTCCCTCTGACCCTCATTTGAATCGGGGGAGGTGTTGTTTTTCCTTTTCCATTCGTCAACAAAACACAAAAACAGCAGCATCCCTTCAACCCGTCACTCCACTCCAAATGAACCCCAGAGGGAAAGTGAAGCAAGGATGCAATGGCAATCTGGTCATTGTTCCTGGCTGTATCAATTACTTGCTACGGCGAGGGGAAGCAGTTTACTGCCACATCAATGATTACTCTATTTTCCAACCTGCCAGGTCAATATTTGAAAGCGGGCTGGCATTAGAAGCAGACTGCTGCTCACACAGCTGTGATTATGGACATAAAACCACAAAAAAATCTATGTGATGAGCTTTGTGATGACTCTACACCTGTATGATTTAACACTGTGGCTCGGAGGTAACTGGTGATTTTTGATATATGTGATGATAACTCACAATAAAACACATCTCACCCAGACAAAAGGCAGCAAGTTCAAGAAGGGCAGACAACATTGCCTTCACAGTCCAAATGCACATAATGATCTCAATGATTTTTGTACGCAAAAGGGACAAAATAACAATAAGATCAACAAACAATCAGGAGCAGAGTCACAGAGGGTGGATAACCTTATATGCTGTTCAAACCTTCTGCTTCTGACGGGCAACCAATCAGAAAAAAGCTGGTGTGAAGGGGGCAAAAGACAGATAGAAAATGGCTTATTAGAGTCGATATAATATAAATAAAGATTATTATCAACGCATAAACAACGCAAAGCTACTGTAGTACAGTCCAAGAATTAAAATATAGAGCTGAAATTACCATTACAGGTCACCTATAAGAACAAAATGTTATAATGAATATCTCTGGTGTAAAGGCAAAAGCTGAATTTTTAGAACTTGTTGTGGACGTTTTGCTTAATTTTCTGTCATTTCCAAAATGTTGTTGCTTTTAAAGCCCTGTGTTTTGTTAACTCGACTGTGCAAAATCTGCCAGCTAAGGCTTCATCAAAGTTGAATTGAGACTTGCTTCAAGCAGACAAAAGGGGAAAAACATTAGCAGTCGTCCTTGATCACCGATCAACGAAGTCTGTATTATCACTGCTAACAGATGCAGACAACAGGATTTGAGAACAGAGCCTTGGTGTTAGGAATACTTTGGGTTATGCCTTGTTGTTTAGGTACACGAAGTGCACTGTGTGACACTTTCATTATAGGTTAACAGACAACTATAAATATGATTTCCGCTAAAGCGATAAAGACTGATAATGACAGTGCTAATGTGCAACCTGTGTACGCCGCTGATGAAATGCTCCAAGCACAGTGATGTGAAGTTGTTTAAAATAATAAGTCTTAATAAGGCTCCATAACACAGTCTCCACTGACTCAGCTATGAAGGCTGGATTAATTTCCATTAGGAATATTCTTGTGTCTGGTGATTAAAAACCAATAGCAATTTGAAATCTGTACAAGAGAAAAATGCAAAATAAAGAAAGAAAGAAAGAAACGCAGCTGAAGAGATGCTGATGATTTACTTGGGGATTCTAAATTAAGTACATTACAGGAAATTATGCTGCTTCAAAAGAGCAGGCTGTCCTGAGTGAGGGGGTGGGGTCCTATTAGAACAGTGCTGGTAGAGAGAAAGAGAGAGAGAGCTCAAGTGGTTGCATAACACAGCAGGAAAAAAAACTCATTCCTTGCCTTTGTTCCTGCCAGAGTCTCTTCAGAATCTAATAAACTCTAAACCAAGACTGCTCTTTTTTACCTCAAAGTATCTCTTATTCTCAGCACACACACTCAACTACTGAGCAGGCAGAGCTGTCTCATCCTTTGAAGTGAACAGCAAACCTGGACCCGGCGAGGTGATGTCATCAGGCCGCGAGCAATAGGTTGAAATGTTCCAAATGGAAAACAGCAGGCCTTCCTCAGCTATGAGAACCACTGCAGGACACTGTGTCTCTAAACACTTCTCAGTTTCACTTTTGGCCTCACCACAGACACAGTCACAGTTGTGGCTGCAGTATCAAGGTGTCGCTTCCTGATTATTCACTGTGAAACTGGTGAAGAGCAGAGTGACATCTCTATAGCCTGATGCTGCTTGCTACTTCAGCTGCATAACTTGTGCATAAACTAGACCGCATTTCATCTTGATAAGCCTCAACACATGATATGCAAAAAGCCTTGACAACACACTAACTAGATGACTACACACTGCACTTTAGGTCACGCAGTGAAAACCATTTTCCATCAAGCACTCTTCCCACTCTTTGACAGTGTCTTAAAATTGCAAAGCAAGAACAAAAGTGCTGTCATCTTGCAGACATTTGTCAGCAGCGTGTGTTATTGTTAAACACCAGTAACAAAGACACAATCTCTGCAAACTATAAACCACCCTGTGGATGTCGAAAGTTTGTTTATATGGTGTTATTTCCTCTCTGGGGCATCTCAGTTTGCACCAAGTTCATAACAGCTGCATGCAGTCGGGAGAATATTCAGTCTTACTTTCTCAACACATGCTCATTCACGTGCAAATTACCAATAATCTATCATAATTTTGTTCACCAACTCACAAGAACGCCAGCCACATCCTTTAAGGTCATTAGGCTAGAGTTACATAACCTGTGGGAAGCCTACAGCAGACTGCCTACCACACAGTCAGCATGACTTTCTGATTATCCAAGCTCTCTTATTATGGAGACCAACAGCAACACAATCCCAAAGGGACGCACTCTAGATGGCGTTGTTTCAGACCTGCCCAGCTTTAAGTCCCAAAGATTAAGACAACAATCATAAAAGTCCTACTCTTAAGTGGCCTGAACTTTCAACCTTCCCAACTGCTGAAGGTTTCAAATAAATGCCACTGCTGAAGAACCCAAAAAAAGCTGTGGCACATGTCAGAGCTTGACAAGAAGATCAAAAACAATAAGACATCAACAACAGCAGGAATATGTTTCTACTTTTAGGAATGTCTCCTTTTGGGTTAACAGCAGCATTAGGCAAAGAAAAGCTCAGAATGACACATGAATCAACACGACTGAAGTAAGATCAAGAAGGAGTAACAATGCAGAGGCCGAGGAGTGTGTACCTGGTCTCGCTCGTGGGGGAGGAGTGTCACAGATGACAGGACCAAGGTGGAAGCACTTGGACACCTGGAGCTCCTTCCCTCTACGCTTCCATGGCTGAGCTTATACCTCGGACCATTTTTTGACAACCTGCCAGTGTTAACTGCTCGCTTAGCAGCCAGCCGCAACCTCTGCCGGAAAGCGGGGTTATCAACAATGTCTGAGAGGTCATCCTGGTTCCTCAGATACCTCTCGATGTTCTTTAGCGAGGAGCCATGGGTATCATCCAGGCCTTCGATGGCCCTCCTAAGCATTTTATTCCAATCAATATGGCGCAGATCGCTCGAATTCCATATAGATTCCTTTGATGGCACAGGTGCATTTGCAGGCAAGATTGATCCAACTCTTCCGGGATGTCCTGGGTCCTTGTAGGAGGCGCTTCCTTTATTTGTAACCTTGAGGATAGAGCCATCATGAACACTTAATTCCAACTGCTCAAGGACGGTCTTCTTGTCCAGTCCATGTGACGTTGCCACCGCATGGCAAATTCTCTCCTCTGAGGGCCTCTGCTTTTGCCTTTTGATTTTCTGTATTGCTTCAAGAATCCACTCAGTGTAAAGAGGGTTTGCAAGTTTTACCATGGTTGAACAATTAGCCTCACAAAAATGAGATCCATAAAGATTCCCCCTTTCTGCTGCTGAAAACTGGGTACATCCACATCCTTAGTAAGATCAAGAAGTTATGTTCCACAACCGCATCCGCTCACTATTTCTTCTCAATCCTGGGTATCTCACATTGAACTTCAACAAAAGTTGGCACTAGTAAATTCCACAATGGTAGTCACCAGCTGACCAGGAGCTGAGTTTATTAAAATTCCAGATTAAATCTAAAAGAAAAACAGAAAAAAGAAAAAACAACAAATAGTCAGATCACCTTTTATTTCTCCTTATTCACATTCTGTAAACTATCTGATGGCACATCGGGTATGAAAGCTAAGCCAGAGGAATGCAGGACTTTTTAAGATGTGCTAAAACATGAGAAACAGATGGATAAAAACAGATGCAGGCGCTGTCATGGCTGCTAAAGAAATCAGAGTGACTTAATCCATAGTCTGACACTATAATCCACACACCAAACCAGATGTCCATTTCAAAAGAGACTCTTTTTTCCCCTTCTTCTAAAAGTAGTAAGTTTTCACACTATGACAGGCAGCTAGAAACTTCTACCGACTTCTGGGAAAGTGTACACAGTCACCTCGAAAGAAACACATTTTCGGTTTCAGAGTCCCTTTCGCATTTGGAAAAAAACAGAGGCAACCTTAGGAGTTAACATTTATTTCTGCTGCACGTAAATATCACACACAAACTGGCTAAAAACACACATATTACAGTCAAAAAGAGGAAATCATACGTAAAAGTTTAACCGTTAGTTGTCCGCACGAGACTTTTTTTGACAGCTCCACGTCCGCGGCGACGAAACTGATCAGCGCGAGCTTTAATGACACACGTAATAATCAATGCTCACTTCCTGACAGCTGCTGACAGGCGCTTCGGGGCACGTCCGCAGTCGCCACCGAGCCGTTTGACGACGGAAGAAAGCGGTGGTAAGACAAAAAAAACTACGTTAACACACCGAAGAGTTTGCGCTCCGCCGAGTTGAGCAGATAAATGACAGCGTTGCCAGCATTACTGATGTCACCTAAACAGTCGCCATTTTGTTACAATGTTGTAGTTTACATGAATCCGACATGACGCTGATTACAATCCAATGGAGTCTCATTAAAGCTTACCTACACTAATGTGCCCTCCCTAGCAACTTCAATATTGGCTGTAAAGACAAGATCCGATTTCTGGTTTGATAAAGCACATGTCAATCTTTATGTATGAGCTCACTCTAAGAGGCACGGCACTGGCTGTATGATCTGTCACTTCACTCAATTGACCCGCCTCTTAAGGTGCCTACAGTGACGAATTGATATCATTCACCTCCAGCACGCGTTACATCTGAACTTGCGGCTCCATACGTAGCGAAGGGTTATTATTAAGTTATAAATACACTATATCAGGCATTAAATAGTAAGTTGCAATTAAATGAGACGAATATTTAACCTCATTTACAAAGCGTTTAACACCGGCCCACCTTTACTCCGATTCCCTCCTTGAAACAGTTGGTTACACTTGAAAGTGATTTGGATCGTTTTAGACTTTAATTGGCTGTTTGTTAAATCTATCATTTGTTTGCATAAAACCTGCAAAGGCCCTCACTACTGGTTTAAAGTGGCACACATATCTCTATTTATTTATTTATTTATTTTTAAATAATTCCAGGTAGCATATGCAAGACTCCTGCAGGCATAAATGCATGCTATCGCCTTCTCCCCTCCTCCGTCCCTGCCTCCTTCTCTCTTTATCTTCCTCCCCTTTTTTATAATTTCCCCGAGAGGAGCCGTCATTCTCCCGATATTTAACATTTAAACTATTAAATTGAGAGGGGGGAAGATAAATATATATTCCGTTACGCGTTATGTTAAAAAAAAAAGTAGGTTTTGCGCTCGCTCCACATCCGCCAGCAAAATTATATTAACGTCCCGTGTTGCGCCGTGCAACGATGGCATGACCTCTTTATCACCATTAACTATCAAATATCTCCAATGAGGACAAATAGTGAGCCCTGGAGGCGGGAGAGAGGGATGTGAGGGGGGAGTAAAGATGTTCAGTAGGGAATACAAGTTAACACGGCTGCCGGGAGAGTGGCTCCTTCATCACCGCTTCTCAATTATGTATCGCTAGTTCTTTCGCTTCAAGTAGTGCTCCCCATCTCTCAGCTTCACCTCACATTTCACACCTAAGCTATACACATATATATATTAGAAATGATACACAAGCCTCCTTTTTGATTTTTCGCAGTATTTTTCTTTCTCCACCCCCCCTTACACACTCACCACCACCACTGTTAAGATGTTATAGGCTGCACAGAACCGATCTCTAATCAGACGCCGCCGTGGGCGAGAAGGCACAACAAATTAACGGCAAGTTTCATGCAAGGATGAACATATAACTAGTAGGAAAGAGGTAAAAAAAGAAAAGAAAGAGGGAGCGAGAGAGGGAGAGCGTGAGGGAGAGAGGGAGAGAGAGAGGGCACAGGCTACCGTAAATATTTGCTGGTAGTTTTACCTCTTCAAGTTTTTCCCCCCCTCGGATAGTCCTCTTCATTATCGGGGAAAACGTCGAAGGATAAAATGCGACGCGACATATCCGAGCGATTTTGCGGGATTTGATGTCCTGAAACGAAGGCTGAAAAGCTTGCGCCGAGACATGGAGAGGACCTGATAACAACTAATTGAAAGGTTAATCTACATAGCAGCCTGTGACAAAGTGGTACCCTCCCCCTTCTTCTTCTTCCACTGTAGACATCCCTACTTCAGTGTAGTGGAGCGGACCGTCGCCCCTTTAGTGCGCTCCTACAATGATATTGTCAATTTCACTTTTTTTTTTCCTCCCCTCTCACCACCACCACCTCACCATCAACACGTCCAGCGATGAGCCAAGAGGAACATTTTTACACTTCCATGTTTTTTTGTTTTGTTTGTGTGTGTGTGTGTGTGTGTGGATTAGCCACGGCTTGCTACGTGACATTTTGATGTCGTAACAGCCCCATTAACGCCAGCACCTCGTGGGCATTTAAAACTTCCAGTTGATGCGCTCTGATGTGGCTCATTTCAACACAAACACATAAATCCAGACTTTTTTTTATTATCATTATTCTAAATATACATATATACATATTACACATTTCTTGCATTGGCCAATACTATCCAGCGCCGCAAGGGATATCACACACTACCCCCCCCCATCCTAATCTGTTAATTAACTTCACCAAGCCCAAGGAAGAGCAATAGTTGTAAGCAATAATGTAGATCATTAAATTTTCAGTTTTTTGTTGTTTTTTTTTAAGATTTGCGCTCGCCTCTCTCATTCACCAACTCTTTAGCAGCATTAGAAATGCCAGAAAGCTCATTTTTCAAGCAGTAATACGGATGTAATTAGGGAGAGATAATTGGTAACTTCCCATCAGATTATGAACACATACAGTACTGTACAAGAAGCCTTTAAAAAGACTTTAACCAAGGAGGTGGTGGTGGTGGTGGGGGAGAAGAGCCACATTTGATGTGTAATTTGATTTGCATTCATTTAACACTTGTCTTGTCATTTTTGCCATTATGCTGCATCTTCATCAGACACGCTCTCCTCATTACCTCCATGACCTTGATGTTTTCTGTTGACCTGCAGATCACTCACCATCTTCCTCCCCGTGCAGTCCTTGACATTTGCTTGCATCTCCTTAATGATAATTTGTGGCAAAACGTGCGCAAATAAAAATGCACATTTCCTTTTAGGTGCAGTCGTAAAACCGCAAAGAGTCCAGATTTGATGCTTTCGGGACTCGCGTCACGATGGAGGCGCTGACCAAAACCTGCCTGTGTCTGGTTATAATGAATGCCACCCTGGGCCCCAGCAGGTCCTCCACTGCTGCATGGGTCCAGGGATAATTTGAATTGGAGCATGTGCCATTGCAATCTGCCCATCCCTCCCCCACCACCACCACACACACACACACACACACACACACACAGACACACACCCCGCCACCTCCTCCTCAATCCCTGCCAACTGCCGCACTGGTGTTCACAAACACTGCTGCCCATCTGCGGGGCAAAACACTGGCCAGGGCCCCAGTTACTCTTTTGCCTGCAATTAAAATGATGCTCAATTAAAAAAAAAAAAAAAAAGTAGGCAAATGTCACAAAATTAAGACATTCTTCTCCCTGCTTCAAAGCTCACAGTGTGTTTAACTCAAACCTGTAAATCTTGTAGACTGGTAAGCAGAAATGGAGCAGCAAACACACAGCACAGAATCGTAAAAATGTAAATCAGATGTACAGTTTTCCATGTCTGCTTTCTTGCCTTTTGCTTTCATAAAGCAAGGCAAAAGTTAACCAGCAAAAAGTGGGGGGAAAAAGTATGTTTGGTAGTTTCCTTATTGTGGCAGGCATTCTCATTACTTAATCATGGCTCCCTCTTTTTGTGTTTGTGTTTTGCCATCTGTCATCTTGAGAAGCAAATGAACCAGCTGCCATGGAGTGTGATCTTGCCCAATCAGAAATGTGGTCCTTTTCAAAGCGCATCTGTGTGAAACCTTTAAAAAAAATGCTGATTGAAAAAAAAAGTGTCTCAAAGTTGTTAATAACATTTTGGCTGGAGAATATTTTCACCTAGATGGCCCCAATTAGCATAAATGCATAAACGATGCCTCATTATGAAAGCGGGGCTGCGTGTGCGGGGAGTGTAAATACTGGATTCCTTCTGATGTGCTCAAAGAAAATAAAACGACAATATGATGTAACAGGTTGTGCGAGGGGAACCGAAAAAAGAAAAGAAAAAAAATCTCAATCACACTTCTTTGTAGAACAGATAAGTGTTGAATTATTTTCCACAAAACACTCGAGACACTGCCCGACACTTCTGCTGGCCCTCAGTGAATAGGACAGGAGGAGGGAGGCAGGGAGGGGGTGGTGGTGGTTGGAAAGGGCCTCCCTCTGATCCCCTTCTCCAACCCCCAGCGACAGCACAGCTGGGTACGAAGGATCAGCCTAATTTTCAGGTCCCTCTAATGACTCCAGCGAAGAGCGACCGCTAATCCCTTAAACTGAGAAAAATGATCTCCTGCAGCCCTGCAGTGCAGCTCCAGACCACAAGAGTCCAGTTAGGACCCAATAAGCATGATGAGGGGTAGGGTGGAGCAGCAGCTGAGCAGAGCCAGGACACCAGGCCCGTAATGGAGGGTGCAGAGCCATCCAAAAGTGATTAGCATGAGAGTGTGTGCCTCTGGCTGATTAAATAATGAGGAAATTCACAAACTCTGTGGGTTATAACATTGTTTTCATATCCTCTTTCTTTTTTGTATCTCCTAAAATAAACATCACCTCTGGGTTAAACAGCTCTTAGATGTCAAAATTCTCCAGGAGTCTCATGGTGGGATCAGTTGATTTATTTCAATAGTACCAAAAAAAACATGTTTCACTTTTATCTCATTATCTATTAAGATTGTCAGTACCCAATCCCTGATTGCTGCAGCACGGCAGCTAAATATTAAAGGAATACTCTGAAGTGGAAATGTGGTATTGTTTCTATTTTACAGCCCCCCCCCCAAAACAGATTACGCTGACAACTTTGTACCTTACAGCTTTGCGCTTATAGTTTTCACTGCTAATTACACCACTTCAGTGTCACTATCGTCTCTTCAGAGTGCACAAGCTCCAGTTAAATAAGCGTAATTAGCGATTTACAGGCAAAGCAGTTATTGTTTGAAAAGTAATAAATATTACGATAATTAGTAAAACTGAGAAGTGGCTTCTGTGGCAGGAATGGCTTGAGAAGTTTCTGTAAATATATCTTTATTTTTTTGGCTGTGATTCAGGGTCTATGAAGAAGTCACCAGAACCCGGAGAAACCTTTCAAACCACTCTTTCGGGATAATGCACTTCTCTGCTACTGATCAGCTTATTATTAGCTTTTATCAAGTTTCCTATAAATCACTAAAATACAAAACCCCCAGCTACGAGGAGGAGCTATTGGGACATAGTGTTTGCTCTGTAGTGGGGAAAAAATATGGATCAATGTTAGTGAAGTTTGGCAGATTATGTTGATTTGTTTCTTGAGATGTGCTTACACATTTGACACTTTCCCACAGCCTTCTCAGGCTTGCAGGTATTCAGTTTTTTACATCCAATAGACAGATTTTAGCGGAATAAGCCTTTAAACATACACATATTTTTCCAGTATTTGACTTATATTAAAACATCAGAGCTGCTATTTTTCCTTTTTTTAACAGTTTGATAAAATAGTCAAGCTGAGGTAATTAGTCCCACGCAGTCTGTCACTGTGAATAGAAAATAAGTATACGTAAAATCCCGAAACATACAAATACAAGTATTTCTGTGGAAAAGACACGTGCGCAGCATTTTCGGGTGCATCAGTGATAATCTGGCTTCTCCGGGAAGGTGCATCCGACCCGCCTGATGATGACATTGGCCGCGTAGTGTCCGGCCCGGATGCACTCCTCCAACGCGTGCTCTTGGACCAACGCCGAGAGGAATCCTGGGTAGACAGAAGAGCAGAGGTCAACCTGTAGCCATCAATCACTTCCGAGAATAGTTTGGGGGAGCAGTTAGGGTTAAAATGAGCAAAGTACTAATTGCTTCTAGAAAAAGGGACTGCTTCTTCCTCAACAGGACATAAATGTTGGCTGTTTTATATGGCGCTATGATCAGAGTGGGGAAAAAAACAGCAGGGTAAAAGTCACACTCATATAATCTGGAGATTTTACTACATTGCATAGTTGGCCAGTACCAAAGGTTAATTGGATTGTACACAGATATGAAGATATGCACTTAATAATGCCATACCTCCAACGAAGGCATCTCCGGCTCCGTTAGTGTCCACAATATCATTCTGGTCTATGTCCAAAACAGGGAACATAGTCACCCTATCACCTACAGAGGGGACACAAGAAGACTCGGTAATTAAAGTTCAACTTCAGCGTTATTCTCTCTCTTTGTGTCTCAAGTTGTAGGCTATTATTTCTCGCACTTCGTGGGGTCATTGCACACTGTAGGGCTTTCTTAAAATAAAAAATAATTGGCTATTTTATTTTAGCACTTCTGCACGGGGGTTTTTCCTCTAATTATTAAGTACACAGCTAAAGATTATGTGCAGTTAATTGTTTTTGCTTTCGCAGGACTAGTAAATCTTCACTCTGAATCATCGTTGTCAACAAAGGTGAATATCGCAAGGTGAATATTTGCTAACACTTTTTAAAATCCATGAACTACCCAAGGAGTAAATCTAAAAACAGGAACGGCAAACAGGAGACGTGAATAATAAATGTGGCTTCTGGTCGAGCATGGATGAACACGTTGCCGTTCGTTTTGGATGATTAGAGTAACTTCGGTTGATCTGTGACCAAATATCTAAAAAGCCAAACAACAAGCCAAGACGGAAACAGCGCTCAGTGCTGTCGGGTTCAGGTTACATTATTTACAACCACTGGTAGATTTTGTCTGCAGTGAGTGACTCATTCAGCCTCGGATAAACACTTTCAAAAACACAGACAGCAGGTGAGCGTAATACAACATACCGAAGAAATAAATAACGGAGACGTCACAGTCTATGTGAGCGTTGGAACAAAACTGTTTTTTAAACCTTGTTGTTCTCCACTGTGGGACCAGGAAGAAACTAAAGCTCTTTGCAATGGATGCCAGTCCTCATCAAACCAGCCAATCGCTGTAACTGTTTAGTGGACGGGGAAGCTGGGCTCAGCTGTGACTCACCAATTGCCCTTTTAGACCATTTAACAATTTAAGTGAGTTTCCAACCCATGACACCAAAGACAAAGATTAAAAAAAGACTCAGTAAAGGCAAGATAAGATCAAATCAGTGATAGAGTTTCATCAAACAGGACGCTGGTGCCAATTTTTATGCACACGGCTTCACAGGTTTCCTCAAAGTTCGGTTTTGAATCAATAATTGTTCCAAGATAAGACTGAACACATTACCCCGTCTGACCCTTAATGGACTTGACCTCGTGTGCATGAGTGCGTTTTCTGAAATCAACGATCACGTCTTTTGTCTTGGATGAGTTTAATTGAGGAGAGGAAACTCATCACACCATTTAACAAAATCATCAAGGACCGGGCCGGGACCCGTCTCATTATTCTGGAGAAACTAACAATAACAGAGTCATTTACACGCGTTGTAATGGTTCAGTTTTCATACCTGCTGTGATACATATTTGTGTACAGGAAAATAATAACTGTCCTCAGTCTGCGTGCTCTGTTCTTTGCTGTCTGCTGTCACCTGTTGCTACCTGCTGCTACAAGTATCTCTTCCTGTACCTGCAAGTGCGCCTTATTGAGGCTTTATTGTGCCAGAGTGATTTCAATATTTTATGTAATGTGATTTTAATGTCTCTGCTGCTGCTCAGCATGTTTTAATTAGTGACAAATAACACAGCACAGTGTTGTCTTTAGGGTTGTGCAGTGTGATAACATATATCTGGTGATGAAATCAAAACCTCTGTTGTTTATTTTTTGACCTTGCAGCAGTATTTTCCGTCATTTTAATGCAATTTTGCAATCTTACAACACGCGGATGCAGGTGAGAACATGAATACCAGCATGAAAGGAGTTGCTAACGCTGTAGCGCGGATGTCATTTGCTCTTGCATGACCCAGTAAGCTGTCCTGTGTAAATTATGCCGCACACCGTCCTCCACAAGGGGCTCAAACAGCACAAATCTCTCCCGTTGCTTATGCAAGAACCATGTGATGCAGTATGGCGAGAGTTTACGGACTGTCAGGTGCTCAAAATAAATCCCAGAGTTAAACTGTTTAAACTTGAAAATACAATGTTTGGGTTTTGTATTTTACATAGCAATATTTTATGTAATCATTTGCTTATATACAGTAAAGTAACAACCTTAGAATGTGGACATCATATAAACTTTAATAAACAGAATTTACTGTGTGATATATATCATTATCCGCATATGAGATTCTGGTCATATCCCAGAGGGAATACTTAATCCGCATGAAACGCTTACCTCCTGGATATTATGGCTAAAATAATTCTCAATTACAATTTACTTATTGTGTTTTGTCTCCATTCTGGCAAATGACAACTGTAAAAAAAGTTTCTAACTCTAACTATGCAAAAGCACAAACACCAGGTGTTATATTAATTACCATGTTATCACAGGGGTAATCCATTTTATTGCTTGCAGGTCTCATATATTGTGCTTCTTTGCCTTGTGCTTTAAATTGAAAAGGAACTATAATAGTATCTTGTAAAATGCTCTTCATTATGTCATTTTACGACTGCTTTACATGCTCAGAAATAATTAATAATCACAAAAACACTTTCATACCACAGCTTAGCTTTGCATTGGGTGCTAATAGCCAAGTAATAAAAAGTTAGCAAAATTCAGTGCAGGTACACGGTTGCATGCAGCAAATCATATTCATAAGCTACAATCAGTAAACATTTGGCTTTAAGTATTATATATATATGAAAACTATGAGAACTGTTCTATTAGGTTCATTAGCAAATTAAATAATTAAGTATTATCTTAGCGTGGATGACAAGGTAAATATGATGTTAGATTAATGGACAAATTTGCAACATCCCTCATCCAAGAGCAGCAGATCCTCCAACGCTCTAATAAATTAAAAACAATCATAGAGCAGTTGTGGCTGTGACTCATTTTAGTTCAGAACAGAATCCATTAAATGAGGCTCTCTTTATTATCTTCAGTGAATTATATTGCTTCAATTATCAGTAGCATATGCACTTCAAAGAGACTTCCAGTTTAAAGGAGAGGAAGAAGGAAAAAAAAGAAACAAAATTCTACCAGATGACAAAGTCTCGAGGTGTAGAGTGACATTAAATCAGCAACTTATGTCAGAACAATCTAAACCACACACACAATCTTCAAACAATCCAAGGGCTCTGGTGCCGACGTGAACCTTCAAAAAGGTGCAGGAGACAAAAGACTGACATGTGGATAAAAGGAACAAGAGGAGTCTGACAGACCTCTTATTGAGAAAAAGAGGTTGGGAGTTTAAAGAGAACACGAGGAAAAAAAACTACAAAAAAAAACTTGTTTAATGAGGCTCCCTGCTAATCCAACAAGAGCTTATGGAATATCTGCACTGCAGATGAGACTTTGCACATTATAATATTTTTGAATACCTTTCTTTTCTCATCCTAAAGGGCAAAAGATACACAACCTGGAGCTGAGCACGTGCTCAACACCCGATGTAAAGAAATTACTGCACTACGCTAGCTGAAAGACACACGTGGTCAGGTTGTGCTTGAAAAAGACATCTTTCAAGAGCAGCTTGGGAGCGTGTCACAGGTCAGGAGCTGAAGACGTATCAGATTAAGAGTTATTGTGTTTTCCTAACAACACAATCTCTTTGTAAAAGGAACCAGCCGATTGTCACTTTGATAACAAATTAAAATAATACAACAATCCTTTCAGGATCAGCTAATTACTAGCGTAACGACTTTGCTTAATTAAAGCCACAGATGAAGCTCGAGCATCCTCCTCCCTGTTCAAATGATTAACTGCACATAAATGTGCTAATAATAAATTACAGTTTGTCATCTACTCTACGCTTAAGAATCTGAAGTCGTTTTATGTGGTCGCCTTTAAGGGATGCACTTTGCGGATATAAATTCGGGCGCGTTAAAATGTGAAGCCGCTGCACTTGTTCTGCATGAAACTGGTGTTCATTAGACGACAAAAAATGCCTCTTAACAGGGAATATGTGGGTGTAAATATGTCTACGGGAGTTAAATATTGAAGCAGCAGAAGGAGGAGTCAGGTCTCATTAGGAAAACAGATCAAAAACGAGGTAACGTCTCAGAAGAAGTGGCGCTCATCTCTGTGATAACACCACCCAAAGGTGACAGAATTCATTAAAAAGGGCTCGGATCTATTAGACCTACTGCTGTTAGATGGGTCTTTTTTTTATTCCGTGTCTTACTGGCTCCTTGTTTGTCTCAATATCAATTTTATCCATCATGTAACGGGGCGATCGTGGCTCAAGAGTTAGGAGTTTGCCTTGTAATCGGAAGGTTGCCGGTTCGAGCCCCGGCTCCGACAGTCTTGGTCGTTGTGTCCTTGGGCAAGACACTTCACCCGTTGCCTCTAACCTGTCACATTTCCTGAATGTTCCTTTTAAATTGGCGCACTTCTTTCTGTAAACCAAACAGAAAGAAGTGAAACAGAAACCTCTGGTGGTCAGAGGGCCCGGTGGCGCCAGTGTCCGGCAGCCTCGCCTCTGTCAGTGCGCCCCAGGGTGGCTGTGGCTACAATGTAGCTTGCCATCACCAGTGTGTGAATGTGTGTGTCAATGGGTGGATGACTGGATATGTAAAGCGCTTTGGGGTCCTTAGGGACTATTAAAAGCGCTATATAAATACAGGCCATTTAGTTAAATACATATCTGCATAAAAATAAGTAAATATCTGTAGGCAGGGTTTCCATTTGTCTTTAGTATTTGGTTGCACGCAGGTGAGCAGATGATTCACTGAAATGCAGTTGTAAAGATTTGGTTTTTCATTAGATCTTTCGTAAACGCTGATTGGCAGGTGGAACAGGAAATTTGGACCGCTTTGGACTAGATATCCGCTGGCTACAGGAAGCCCTGAAAAATTCCCCCCAGTCATGCCACAAAATCATAATCAATATCAATCAAGAGTCATCAGCCCTGAATGTAAATAACACCCTCATTTGACCAAAATCCAATTTTCCAAACATCTGCGGTTTGCAAGATGAAACAGTCAAATGCAGCCTCAGAAGGCTGTCAACTAACATCCTTGCAAAGTCGGGATTATGCGTTCTGAGTCCGCAAGTCTGCTCAGGTCCCAATGACATAAATTTCGTCATCAGGCTGCAAGAGTGAAGGTCAGCGCAGATGTCCACATGC